AAGTGCTGCACCAAAAATTCATAAACAAAAATCCACTGCAAACTTTGTTTGTTCCCTTCGAATTTGTTTCGGGTTCTACCACTTGCCGAGAACGGCGCCAGGCATCGCGGGTTCCTGCGCCGATGAGTTGGATGGTTATTTAGCGCGCTTGCCGCCCAACCGTGGCAATCAACGATCGGTGGAGCACAACATCGACATTTATGCCTTGGCAGGTGCACCACTTAAAAAACGTCATCAAACGTGGGAAAAGCCATCGTTCAGCATCTTCCACAGCCGGCCATGTTTGATGACACCACAGGGTATGGAATCGATTTTTTTCTGGAAAGCATTGGAATCAATCATCCCGGCAATGGAAAATCAGTAATGTTGTAGATGATTCAGCTGATCTACACATTGAAAACAGGGTTTTTTGATGATTTTCGACTGGGCTAGACTACCAGTAGACTCTTATGAATGGGCCCTGCAACGGTCAGGAAACTAGCTGGACTCCCAGTTGTATCTAGCTCTGACACCCCGTCTCCAGCTCAACTGCATGGAAGTCATGGTGCCCGGTAGCGTCACAGGCATGTTGGGCCAGTGGAAATTGCAAGAACGTGCTGGACGCTTTGTGCAGAGCATGTATGGAAAGAACCAGGAGCTGCTGATACTGTGCTTGAAGAAAATGCCTTCTCCACGTAGATGTGTTTATCATCAAAGAATTACTCGTACAAACTGATTATGTTAACTTTCAAAGATTGGATGTTTCTGGATGTTTCTCGTTTTTCGTTGCAATGATTCGGCTCTCCGCTCACGATGGTGGAGCCTTTTTTTTGTTGTTCATATCATCACCGCAGTGAGTCCATGGCAGGACTACCCGCAGGCCTATAACGTTGGAACGGTTGGCTCACAACGTTGTGGGCCCACCAGTACTGCTGAGGATGGGATTCCTGCAGATGGGTCACTTGGAGAAATAAAGGAGGAAGCTTTAGCAGATAAGACAAGAATTATTCAAGACTGGGCTCAGTAAATTGTAAACAGCCCAAAACAATCCAAAACGTGTATCGGAGAGAGAGAGAGAGAGAGAACGAGAACACACCGCGTGGCCGCTCCCATGAGCACCTCGACTGGCATCAGGCAATTTTGGAACGTTTTGGCACATGCGGAACCAGACCCTGACCGAGTTGGAAAATCCGTGAGCTGGTTGATCTATTCAGACTCCATCTGGGAATATGATAAGGACTGCTGGACTGCTGACCGAGGCAGGACTAGGTTCAATCCACCATGCCTCGGGAGGTGGGTGCACAAAATTGGTGACTCAGTCTTGTCTTTATTTAGGATGAACGCTCCAACAGCGTCAATCCGTCCCACCACGACACTATACGACACTTATAGCCGCTAGCCCTCCTCAAGGAATCTCGCTCTTCCGTTGCTGTTGAGTTCTGCTGTTCCCTCCGTTGCTGTTCTTGGCCAGGACTTTTTGAGCAAATTAGATCCAGCGCCAATGCTGCATGGGGTGCGTTTCACCAGCAAAGGCTTCGGGATCCAATGGGAGGAGACTGCTGGAGCGGTCACTGGGATGGTGGTCGGGGTCGGGACTCCATCTTCTTTGTGGTCAGATAAACATGATAAATCCAGTAGCAGGCACTTAATTCGTGGGAGACCTTTCGAACGGTCCGGTGGGACATAGAAATTCTGGTAAGTTCTCCCTTGAAGCTGGCTTTCATTCGAGGTTTCCCGACACCCACCTGATGATCTGGATGAATCTGAGGTGATAGCCCTCTCGCACTTCCTTGCCTTCCGCTCTGAGGGGAGCGAGGACAGCTTCAAAGAGCAACTGCAGCGTCGCTTGACAGCCTCGCTCCTGTCTTTGCGGACGCTGCTAAAGACCTATGGGGCAGTTCCTGCCTCCGTTCGCGGGGGGAATGGAGAGGCATACAATGCGCACAACCCATATTCACCCTACCCAGGAGGGTCAGACACTGGCATGCGCTTCCCATATCTACGAATGATTCATGTCGCCAGTGCCTCATCCGCAAGACAGAGCCATCCCAATAAATCCAATGCCAAAAAATCGTGTCATTTTTGAACATTTGTGATCTTGACCTGGAATTGCTTGGCTACCCTAGTGGTTCACATCCCCACATCGCTTTCCTGGGCACCAAAGGTACCGCTTGGACGGGCTTGGCGCTGATGAGCAGAACGACAGCCACGGATCCAGTGTGGTCTGGGGCCAACCCCATGCAACTCTCGGGGCGGCTGCCGGCGGATGATTTTTACTGCCTGCCACAGCAGCAAGAACCAGATTCCTCCATCACTGACAAAGCCTGTATGTGGAAATGAGATGGAAATGAGTTGCCAAAGATGCAGCCGATAAAAAGATGACCATTTTGAAAAGTCCCAGGATGTCGTGGGCAATTAGATGCTGGTGCAACTGTGAACCAAGTTCAAGGTTAGCCAGCAAAGACCTGCATGGGTATCACTTCCTGGGTTGGTTCTATAGAATCCGACCTGACTCTTGAATGAGCGTGCGTGATTGGCGAAACATGCAGTAGGAGGATTTAGTTTTGCACCCGCCGCCTCGATTCCACACTGGCCGTAGTTTGTCATAGGGACATCACTTGCACCCGGCCATGTGGCGTTATTCTGGAGTTGATTGTATGCAGCTGATTTTAGATACACTATGTGACTATGTGCATCTATGTACTAACATATAACATATGAATATCATATGAATATCATATGCATAGATCATCATAGATGTGCACCTACAGATATCTAACATTATCTAACAATCACTGATCCGAGCGCACAGCATCTGACAGCAGATTCCGAAGCAGGCCGTGTGGAAAAGCTGGAGAAGGCACGACCAGAAAAGCATCGAAACGGAACGAGTTCTGCATCGAAATGCGACTGATGATGGATATGAAAGAATAGTGCCAAAAGATGCTGAGCTGATCCTGATCTGATGCTGCTGTTAATATTGACGTTCATGCTGATGTTCATTTTGATGTTCCTTCATTTGTTCACAGCCCATGGCGGACCACAAATCACGGCACAAGAACCAGCCAGTCGCCCCATATGCCCCGGAGTCCTGAGCATGGGGGCCCCTCACAGGACAAGGAGACACTACAACAAGACCTCGCGAAGGCGTTAGCACGGGTGGACGTGCTCACCGCCGGCAAGGTACCTGGCTCAGCATGGCTCAGCTGGCAGCCTCTTGCCATCGGATTTTTGGGAAATCCCAACTTAAATGACTTTAATGGTAAAAAAACACATGGAAACATATGGAATGATCATCATGAATTATCTATAGATAAGTGGGCGATTTCCCCAAATTGACCAGAAATGGATGGAAATAGGTTGCATTTGATAATCAAACATAGCTTATGGATGCTCCTCAGTGCTTGGGAGGCAGCTAGCAGCCAAGTGGAGGAGGGTCAGCTCCGAACGCTGCAGACGGAATGCGAAGCCTTGAAGGATGAGGTGACCAACAAGGCACCAATGGTGGCATCCCCTGGATGGGCTGGTTTCAAGTGAATGAGATGTTCCAAGATGAGGGAGATTGATGGACCCAAAAGTTGGATGGTTTCTAACTTCAACAGACCCCCAAAGTTAGATTCTTAGATGGTTTGATCATCGATTGATCCAAACAAATAAATGGACACCAGACCACCACCAAAAAAGGGCTGATGACCGTCCCCCAGTTCCCGTCCCCAGGATGGCCAAATCATCCTTCTGCGGAGCCAGCTGGAAATTGCCGACAGGACGGTGTTTGAAGTGGCCTGGGCCAAGAAGTTATGAGTTCTGAGCAGACTGTTGACTGGGCTGGGGTCCAGATAGTGGTATAGTATGGTATAGTACAGGTGTCAAAATTCTTCATATCTGGATTAACACCTGAGGATACCTACGGCTTTTTTCATGGAAGATCAGGAAAGTTGGTGTAATCCAGATCATTGCCTCAAAGGGGCGCCAATTGCAACCGATAGGAAGCTTCGCTTGTCAGACATGGAGAATGCAATGCTGCCTTTTGGCCAGACATAGCGGGTGATGCCGAGGGGTGTTTGAAGTTTGGCAATGGTGGCAATAAGGCTGTCATGCCTATCAGCACCCCCACAAAACGATGATGAGTCAGGCAACACATACCAGATGCCCACAGCTGTTCCACTCCAGTTGAGTTCTTGAACCACCACTTTGGCGTCATAGTGTGCATCAACGTGAATAGTCGTTTCTATATGTGAAACTGAGCTGAATGATGTCGATGGACTTGATAGGCCCTGAAAGGGTTTCGTTTTTAACGGCCATTAGACACAGTGAATTCCGAGCCAGTCCGGGTTGCTTTCTGAAGATCTCAGTGCCACATTCACTACACAGTGTGGCTCAGGAAAAGCGAGCTCGAGTTGCGAAAACGGAGCGCAGCGTCGACGCCGAGCGCAGCGTCGACCATGTGACGCCATGATTTTGCTCCGGGGTCCTTATATTTCCATCATTTGCGGATTTTACCTGTCACCCCTGGTGGTTAGATAATGATAATTCATAATCATTCAATTATTGCATATGATTCCACCCAAGAAAACAAGAGTTGTTTTCATCTGGAGGAAATAATATGGAAATATGAGGATACCCGTTAATGAACGGAGATGTGATTTCGGATTCATCACCTGGACGTGGTTGGGTCGGGGTTCAGCCGGTGTCGTGGTCGGTCTTGACGAAGCCTGACACAGCACTTTTTGGGATCCCAGGGGCGCCATGACCAGTATATAACTGGAGTTATCCCCCCCAAAAAGTGAGCAATTACGATCAAAATGATTCAAAATGGGCATTCCGACATTCCCCCCAACCAAACTGGGGATTTTATAAACCCTTCGTTGACATGATGGGGAATGTGCTTGCGTTGGTCGAATCAATGAAAACCCATGGTTTGGACCAGTTGACCCGGCCATGCAGAGCTGCTAACGCTATGTGGCGCAGCAAGGGACGCTGGTCGCTGGCATTGAGGGAGTACATCCTGGGGCCACTCCTTGAAGAAGCTTGATGAAATACCGCACCCATAGATTCATGTTTAGACACTGGAAAGATCTATGCAGTATATACATGACCCTATTTGGGATAAAAAGTCCTCCGCTTGGTGTTCCACTTTGAATCGCAAGTGAGTGACCAATTCTGTTCCTTTCTTTGGCCCTAGTAGGGTGCCCGCACATGTTGCAGCGCAATGCGAATGGCCAACGAAGTCATTCAAGGACCAGTTGTACCCGGATGCGGTGTGATGTTGCGATTGCTGAAAGCCAAAGTGAGCCTTAATTTCCAGAAGACAATACCTGTCAGCTATCGATCAAGCTAAGTTGTGTATATAGCTAGAACGATGGAAAGAGGGAGAGAGGCAGGACATCGATATCAAAGCAGCACAGATCACCCTTGCACATAAAATTGTTTTCAGGATGAAGATTGCAGTTTTCCTTCACGATCTTTAAATTCACATCCCAGAATCAGCAGCAAGCAGACCGCTCCATTGTTCCCACGCGCTTCCAATGGTTTCAACAGCTGTGTCTAATTCTCGGTGTGCCGCAAAAGTCGGGCAGCCACAGGCCCCAGCCTTTGGAGAGGTTTCGCTGCTTCATCAATCCAACTGTTGCCAATGATGATGCATTTCAAGGTTACAGTAGGTGCTTGAAGCTATGGGATACTATGAACAACCCATCTCATCAGAATTTTTGGTCATGGTTCCAATGGCATTTGAACGCAATTTGCTGACCAATTCAGACCTGGATATTCTATTGATATCTATGGATATCTATGGATATTTATGGATCATTTGCACTCCACTCCTGGGCCGTGGCTGCCACACCTGGCTGCTGTGGAAAAAGGGGGAAGCTGATGCGGTACCTTGAAGGACTCCCTTGGCCTTGGAAGCCTGGGAGCAGCTCTCAGGCAGTGACGAGGGTGGCCGCGTGTCTGTAGTTTTGGCATTGTGTGGAGACCAAACCTGGAGGGCCTGGAGGGTGGAAGCGGCCTCGAAGCTCTTGGTGATAAACATTGATAAACCATCCCAAGCCAACCATTTGGGCACCGGATTTTTTCTCATCCTGAGGGGTGTGGTCCAACAATAAACCTCAATTTGGGATAGTATCTAAAGTGTTTTTTTGGGGGTATCTTGGTGTTGAAGCAGATTTTTCACAAGGCATGTCCGGGAGATGGTCAATATCCGGTGAAGCATTTCAGTTCTTAGCTGATCACTGGAATTGGCTACATCAGAGCGATGCCAGTGTTCCACTGAAATGGCCTTGTGATGGCAATATGGACTGCCTGCCAGCTGAAGCGTGGGGGGCTGTAATAGCAAATAGTGCCATATTTACCACATTTCGATTGCTGGCATATTCTCTACAAGTGAGGGTCACGTGGTATACTGTAATTACTGTAATTACAGTATTTCGTGCGGGTTTGCATGCCAAAATCCAGCAGTCAACAGATGTCAACAGCTTGCAGTGTGTATACACATGATGTCACCATTATATACACATTATTGAACCATGCTAGAAGTAGACGTGATTTGCTGCAGCATGTGCATACACTTGTGCATCTGCAAGGGTGGTGAAATGTCCCACTTCAACATCACCCAACCAGTAGTGATTGTCCAACAATGTGGCATTTTTAAGAACATGTTTCCTGTGCTCGTAACATCCGGCAATGTACTACACCTAATGATAACCTACATTTGGATCCATTTGGGGGTATGTATGATGTTTCACACTCCAAATGTTGCAGAATTACAGTAAGTCAGCACGTTGGATATGCAAAAAGAACGGTACGGTACACCCCATAAACTTCTAGGAGATGCCCTCCGGTCCAGCATGGCAATGCCAGTCCCCCTTTAAACTCACCCGAAGATGATTTTCCAAGTCAAGATGGAGATTTTTCAGCCAGCCATGTCAAATCACTTTTCCGGATAAACCTTGCTTGGGTAATTTTTTGGGTTGTTCGGTTGTTCAGTAAATTTATCCTTTTGCCATCAATGGAGATGATATATATATATATATCAGAAAAATAGTAGTAGCTGCCGAAGGTTGGAACCCTACATCTTTTCAGTGCATCCAACGCACGTGGGCTGCGAGTACATGCAACAGGAGTCTGCTCCAGTTGCCAAGTATGATGTTCACAACAGGGTTGCGATCATTTGAGATCCGGGGTCGTACAAAAACTTACCCTTCGGTAAGCAAACGGGGCTTTTTTTCAAATCAACCATTGATGATTTTCCCATTGAAACTTTCATATTTATAGCATTTTATTTAGCTATAGCAGCTATGTTTGATTACCAGAGGTTAGCTCAGTGATGTTTCTGGTGTTTCTGGCCAGGAGTTTTCCTTCCTTACCGACCGGCAATCCATCACCGTTGTGGTTGCCCGGCATGGGCCTCAAGGGACCGCATCACGTTAGCGGCGAGAAAAGCGCATAATTAATGTGTGACCACGGGCTTTACATTTGAGTAATGTACATTTTAGACATTGCTTATGTATACCATATATATCCATATATCATATATATATATATATATATGTATAAATATATATTATATTATGATACCGGTTATAGCTATGCCCCATCGGTATGTCAATTGTAATCCCTTCATACTGATCATACCAATGGGGCATAGTATGGTGCTGTTCGCCTCTGGCATTCTACGCCCTCAGGTCTGTGTTGGGCATGATCCAAGAGGAGTCCGGCAACACGATGGGAAGGTCATGAATATCGGAGTATGAGTCAACATTTAAGACACAGGGGACCAGAGATTTTAGTTGCTTTTTAGATTAATTATATTAATTATATACTAGCGATCTAATTCTTGGTGTACCCAATTGTGACCCATATCCATTTGAGTGCAGCAGGATATATCTTTAATCTTTACTCACATGCAATAACATGGACTTATGTACACAAATACATATAAGTACCCGCGCAATATACACAAGTGTGCTCATTTGTGCATATATGTGCGCACACACACACACTGTGTATACACTATGTATGTACACTATGTATATATATATATATTAATATATGTATATGTATTTATTTAGATGCAGACATGACTACACATGTTAACTGCAATAGAATAGACTTAGAAGTACTCTCTTGGACGAAAAAGTGGAAATTGTCATGCATTTGCCTGGCAAATGCATGTAATGGGCAGTGAAACTGCATTTCTGCATTTTCAAAATGGAAGTTCGTCTGCCATTCCATGTAAGAGGATGATATGTTTTGTGCCTTCGAACCCGAACTTCATTGTTTTTGTTCATTCTTTTTTGTTCATCCAAAAAATAATCTCTACCATTTAGTGCATTTTGCCTCACTTGGTTGTGAAACACATGACTGTGACTGCAGAATGTTGCACCCAGGATTGTCAGACAATCATGGGTGTGACAGTAGTTTTCAAGTTGTCTCCCTGTTTTTTTGTTGTTTGTGGAGGTTCACGAACATGGTTGTGGCTCAAACGCATTCTTCAAGATTTCCACGTAAAGTTTATCCAGGAAGCAATCATACTTTCACAAAGCTGTGTCAGAGCTCAAAACTGGAGCCTGCATGTAGGAATGTTACCCTCTGGTAAACTAACATAGCAATGGAAAATCACCATTTTTAATGGGAAAACTCACTATTTCTATGGCCATTTTCAATAGCTTTTTGTTAAATAACCAGAGGGTATCTTTGATTCTGTGGCTGGTTTACCTCAAATAGGATGACTTCAGATACCCCCGTGACTATTCTCCAAGGTCTCCAAAGCAGCGGATTCGGCAGGAGAACGTGGTCTTTGTGATTGATGTCTCTGGATCCATGCAGGTGCACAATGGCTTAGCTACCAAGGCTTCAGGAGTTCGATTCGGCTTCGGATCAAGATCAGGATGGCTGAAGATGGTTCAAGAAACAAAAATCTGGCATATCTGCCCAATTCTGCCCATATTTGTGTTGAGCATGTCGCGACTGGCTTTGTCTGAAAATATCATTCTCCCCATTCAAATGGCCATATGTGCCATAGTTCAAAGCTGGACTGTGCACCCATGTTGGGGGATGGTCATCAATTCATTCATAGGCTTTCATAGGGATTATAGTTAGCGTACCAGATAGAATATTTTAGTTCAGCAAAATATTTTGTTTGGCTTGAACTAAAGCCATTCTAGCGGATAGAATATTGTCACAGATAGAATATTCAAACAATACAGGTAAAAATCCTCCAAAAACATGTATTTTACCAGGTGAATGGCAAAAAAAAAAGTGAAAAAATAGGTTTAGTACACATGCCTGGAAACAAAACAATAAATCTACGTAAATTCAGACAGATATAGACAGATAGAATATTCAACGGAGCAGGTAAATCAACACACCGTACCTATGTAAAGTGCTTCAAAAAAGTGTGTATATATAGCCATATATAGCCAGAATGCCTATGTAAAGTGCTTCCACTGAGGGTACACTTATGTCATGAATGTTGCACCATACCTATATAAAGTGTGGTTGACAATGTAGCAACTGGAACATCAGCCAAAGGATGATATATCTAGATATGTATAGATAGATTCAGCCATAAAGCTATATATGCACATGTATATATCCTTATTCATGCATTTACCAAACATTAAGACATGCCAAATTAAGACGTTTAAATTAAGACATGCCACACATTACCAAACCCTGTTTTTTTTTTGCATTAAATCTCACAGATAGAATATTCAAAAGTTACCCGACACGGTCGTTCACGTAAAGATAGAACGTTGGAAGAAGTAAAGAACTGAAAAGAAGCATAAACGGGCATGGAAGATCATGAAAAGAACCAAGGACCATGAACATAATTTGAAACGAACATGCGCAGAAATTCGATTTTTTTTATCTAAAATGACAGGACATACAAGGAAAACGGAATGACTTGAAGGATAAAGGGAAGGAAACTGAAGTGACAAGAGAGTAAATGAAAGGGACATGAAAGGAAGATGAGAAGGAAAATGAGACGAACGGAAAGGGAAATCAGAGGAACATCAGAAGGACATGAAAGAACAAAAGGAAAGGAGGGAAATTAAATAAGATGAACGTAAAATAAAGATATGATTGACGGAAATGGAAGGAACATGGAAGGAAGTGAAAGGAAACTGACAGGAGAATAAAAACACATGAAAGGAATGTGAACAGAAATGAAAGGGAAATGGCACGAACACGAAAGGAAATGCTTTTGTATGTGTGTATATTTTTTCAATATTCACATATAAATTGTGACCACCATGGTGACCAAGGTCATGCATTCCGAATATTCTATCATTGAGATTTTGGACATGACATGTAGGGACAATGAAAGGATATGAACAGATAATGGAAGGACATGGAAGTAACGCATATGAAAGGAAAGTGGAAGGACATGAAATGCATCAAAATAAAGTAAAGTAAAGTGAAAGGAAGATATAGAAGAATGTTGGAAGAAGTAAAGAACTGAAAAGATGCAGAAACATCCCCGTGGCAATTTCCACACTAGAAATGGATGACTTGTGCATAGTCTAAGCGAGATCCGTAATGTATTGGAATTTCAAAATTGGAGTCAGGTTAGTTATTTTATTGTTTGGAGCATTTTATTGCAGAATGGAACCAGTGCTTTTCCAGGATCTCTTTATCTCGATTTTATTGGGCATATCATTTTAGATCAGCGAATTTTAAGGAATTTAAATGAATTATAAGGAATTTTAAAGGAATTATAAGGAATTATAAGGAATTTTAAGGAATTTAGGGAATTTTAAGGAATTTTAAGAAAGTTTAAGGAAGTTTAAGGAAGTTTACGGAATTTTAAGGAATTTGACGGAATTTGAAGGATTTTTAAGGACTTTTATTTTAATGATTTTAAAGGATTTTTAAGGAATTTTTAAGGAGTTTACAGGAATTTTAAGGAGTTTTTTGGAATTTTAAGGATTTTACATATTTACTTTGTTTTGGATACATATTTACTATATATATAATCATTTAGACATGCATGAATAAGGATACATACATGTGCATATATAGCTTTATGGCTGAATCTATCTATACATATCTAGATATATCATCCTTTGGCTGATGTTCCAGTTGCTACATTGTCAACCTCACTTTATATATATATAGGTATGGTGCACCATTCATGACATAATTGTACCCTCAGTGGAAGCACTTTACATAGGCATCATGGCTATATATGGCTAGCTATATATACACACTTGTTTGAAGCACTTTACATAGGTACGGTGTGTTGATTTACCTGCTCCGTTGAATGTTCTATCTGTCTAATGATGGTATGTCAGCATTCTATTTGTGAGGATTTGGCCTTAGTTGGAAATGTTTGATAATCTATTTGGTAGACGCTGACTATAATATGCCCATTGTAAGGATTCCCATTCAGGGTGTAATGTTAGGATTTATCACCACATCATTAGATTTTCACATAAAGCCCTATGAATCGGGATTTCTGTGCCAACTGTAAGGATTCCCAATATGGGACGAATGGACAGGTTTACCTTGAGGATGTGAAGTCCGCGGTGAACCTGGCTCTGGTGCAGCAGTCTTGGGACCCAAGGTTTGGAGGAGACGGCATCGGTTGCACTAGAATTAGGCCATAAATCTATGCCATAAATCCCATGATTCCCTGGATGATCTTGGGATTTAATGGGATTTATTGGGGTTGAATGAGATCATCCCTGGATTTACTGGTGACCACCATTTGGAGACACAGCATGAGCCGGTTCTTTGGGTCCGATTCCGTCTACTTTTGAAGTAGCTGTCACAAGGGCAACAAGCAGCCACTCATTGACCATATTGACCATTTCAAAGGATGGTTGAAGTACTTTGAAGTACTTTGAAGTACTTTGAAGTACTTTGAAGTACTTCGAAGTATTGATTATTGATCTCATATCTCCAAGGCCATCCAAGGCCCCTAAGCTGGCCAACATGGTCGCCACGAAGTGCAGTCAGACTTTCACAAATGGCTGTGGACGCTGTGGCGTGTTCCAAAAATGGCTGGGAACGTCCCCAAGTATCCCTAAGATTCCCCAAGTCCAGTTTTTTTTTTTGGTGGAAAGAACATGAAACAATTGTAGGATCTGTAGGTTGGTCATGATCCGATTGAAGCAGTGGAGCCTCCAGGTTTCATCAGATGCAGCGGCACTTCAACTTGGTGACCTTCACCGAGGGACAGGTGGGCCGATTTTCAATGATTTTCATGGTTTTTTCGACCAAAGGCCAGTACCCAAAAAGATCATTGGACCTTCCAGTATCTTCCAGTTCTTCTTCTCCTTCTTTTTCTTCCCCAGAGTGTCATTTGCTGGAATTGCAGTTTTATATTACATGTTTCAACAATACTTTTCTGCAGCTTTCGTTTTTTTGTCTTCTGCCTGGATCGGAGCCATTTTGGTTTGCCCATGGCCCAACTGGTTTTCAGATCGAGTTTCGCGACGACTTGGTTCCAGCGACTCCGAGAAATCTCGAGGACCTATTGCATTTCTGTCACGTGGCTTGCAAAGGAGCAAAACATGGATTTGAGCTGAGACAAGGGAATAAATTTACCAGGCAGGCCCATTTCAGAATTTGTCACCGTCTTTGTCTTGGAGTGCATGTTTATCTCAGTGAATTTGCCATAGCTGTTTGCAAACTGCAGGACGCTATGCGCTTTTGCCAGCATACGCAGGAGAGACATTGGAGGGGGGCCATCGGCCATTCTTCGAAATCAATTCAAATCCAATGAAAAAAGGACAGATCGCTTCCAACTTTTACAGACCCCCAGCTGCAGCTGCTAGCTTTTCTGGATGGTGGTGATATGTGATAGTATATTATGTACACGCACAGATCCGCATGTTTGCCCGGAGCCAGTGTTTTCCCGCACGAAACGGCTCTTCTTTTCCACGGGGCCCCCACGAAGTCTGCGAAGGGTTGTTGCCGCAAATTATTGTGAAACGAGCCATGAAGCAAATTTCGTGTCGTACGCGTGGCGAGGGCCACACCTAGTGTACCGTCCATTTCTGCAAGGCGGTTAGAACTGCGGATGTAACATATGCTAAAAACATTTAAAAACCCTGGGAAAAATGAGATATTTGTTGTCGTCTCGGGGGAACGTTATGTTCTGCGGGTGTGATTTCACCATATTTTGGGGCTGATCCATGCTGATCCTCAACGACTAAGATTCTTGAAATGCTGGCAACCCCATTGACCAGGCAGGTGGCGGAAGTAATTTGGCAGCTGCAGTCCGCAACGTTCGGGGCCTTGGATGGGTCATGCCCTGGTCGCCGCGTTTGAGCTTAGTTTGTCTCAAACAGGGGAAGAAACAAACATTGGTGGGTTTATTATGGTGTGTGATATTACGATTTCCCCTATTCAAGTCGCTGCAACCAAACATCTTGTAAACTGACGCCTGGTCCGAAATCCGACTTTCTTGTTAAGTCGGAAGATACACCCTCACAGCGAGCAAGCGTAAGAAATGGACTATTGACCACTGGTGCTCATAGGTTTCATCCACAACTTGCCCTGTTCACACCCCGACTGGAATTTCGTTAGGTCTTGGCCTCTCCCCTGCTCCATCATGTCTCCATCATGCCTCCATCGCAGTGGAGGCCTTCAGATTCAAAAAGGCTGAAGCCATTTTGGTGATCACGGATGGCAAGACCGAGGCCAAATCCCTTTGGGATCTTCGGGCTGTGACGTGAAGGTCATACGGTCATAGGGTCAAACCAAAGGTTTTCTCGTACTTGTACTGGTGCTATGTTGGGGTGGATGCTGGGATAGATAAAACATGATAAACCAGTCAAGGAATTCGGGGGGTCTGAATAGAGGAGTTCCAGGGTAAGCCCAGTAGCTGTCCTGCTCCTGGGCGTGACTAGTTTGCTCTCTGCAAGGTTTCTGAAGACCTGCTCACACAAGTCAAGGTGCACCTGGCACTTTTGTTGTTGGGGAGGAAGTATAACCACCTCAAGAAGGAGATGGTTTCTAATTATTGCTGAGTAAGTCTCACACCAGGAGCCTATTTACATGCAATGATTCTGAGGTATTGTAGTAGTTGGATAAGATATGATAAGATGAAAACGAAGGTGCAGATGATTATGGAAAAAGGACAGCCTCAAATCAAGAACCGGTGCAGTCCTACGTGTATGGGCCACCGGCTGAATCCAGATGATACCTTGGAGAATCTGGGCTTCCCTTTTGATGGAATATCTTGCGTGAAGCAAGATTTCCACTGGCAGCCACAACTGATGACCACCCCGAGTCAGGTTCATTACCTTGGCCATCCGCGACGAGCAAAGGTTCATACGGTGGAGGCCCCAGCAGATCCCAGCAGTGGTGCAGTGGTGCCCTCTGAGGGTGACATTCCCTGTGCATCAGGATGCATCAGGATCCTGAGATATCCTGAGATGCTGAGGTTGGCATCAACTGCGTGCCCGGAAGGATCAAGCAGAGGCAGAGTTGTGACCTTTTTTTTTAAAGGATATATAAGGGGCAAGGCCACTCCCTCATTCATGGTCTGCCGTTCAAAGATTTTCACCATCTGGTCTTTCTGAACCTTGACGCAGCTGTTCGTCAATCTTTTGTGGGTTTTCCATAGGTTTTCCCCAAGTTTTGTCGTTTTTGGGTCCCAAAGACACTGCATCCCTGTTCAGGGCGCTGCAGAGCTTAGCCCACTTGACACAGGGCTCCTTCAGATCTGTCTGCTTGGAGCAGGAGCTACTGTAGTTATGGTGTCAGTGAAGCGGTAAGAAGTTGTCAGTCGAGGTCATTGCTCACGAAGATCATAAGTGAAGTCATCGCATGTAGCCGAAGCGGCCAGCACAACAACGTACCAACAAGACTCTCAACGTGATATGTGCTGTATTGTCTAATTGTATCTAATTGTGTGTTTGCATGTATATATTGTAGTATATATGCATTATATAATATATCTACATGCTACCTAGTAATTATACCACATTAATATATTCTTGTTTTATCCTAGACCTCAACTGCCACTGAGATTTTCACAGCGGCAAGCGGTGGAAAATGACCATCCTACTGGGCAGGACACCTTCGTGCCAGTGGCCGCAGGCGAGGAATTTCCTTCGTGCACCGACATTAAACCCTTGTAATAAGCCACATCAGGATGCATGTAGATACACATGTCTATGTATAATTATACAATAATTATATTAATTATAGACATGTTCACGGACTCCGAATTAGGACATCTGACGGAACGTTTTGGCAACTGTTGTGCAAAGAAGAGTGCAGTGCGGATTTCCTGAATAGTCATTTCATGTTATTTCCTTTAGTCCACATCCCTTGACTGCGTGAAGATGCAGGCAGCGTGGTGGGCAAACAATAGCCCTGGCAATACATACATACATACATACATACATACATACATACATAGATACATACATACATACATACATACATACATACATACATACATACATACATAGATACATAGATACATAGATACATAGATACATAGATACATAGATACATAGATACATAGATACATAGATACATAGATACATAGATACATAGATACATAGATACATAGATACATAGATACATAGATACATAGATACATAGCATAGATCATAGATACATAGAGACATAGATACATAGATACATAGATACATAGATACACATATAGATACATACATACATACATACATACATACATACATACATACATACATACATACATACATACATACATACATACATACATACATACCATTAAATACATACTACATACATACATACATACATACATACATACATACATACATACATACATACATACATACATACATACATACATACATACATACATACATACATACATACATACACACACCTATCTCTGTATATGTATATGTCTATATGCTTAATTATTATTATTTTATTATTATTTTATTATTATTATTATAATATATATATATATATGCATTTATGTATATGTATGTAATTTTGAATTGATACACATCTACACATATAGTAATACTACGGTTACTAGTAAGCCAGTTTCAAACCTCCATCGACATGGTGCTGGCCCAAGGTCAAAAGGTGAAAGGCATTGACCTCTTGGACCAGCAATACGTGACCACCGACGAGGAGCACGCAAAAGTCGGTGGACAACGGGCATTTGTTCATTTTCATTCTACAGCCTTGGGGGGATAATTATATGCCCCAACAGTTCAACATGCCCCAAGTGGTAGGATTTTTCCTGCCAACCAGGTGGTTGCCTGGCCAGGACACCATTACGGACGCTGTGCTGGAGGATCCCTATTCGGAAGATGACCGGCTGCAGCGCTGAGTTCGTTTCACCGCCGTTCGCCGCTGAAGATCGGTGGCAGCGGCATGGAAAAGATGCGAAGTTGGAAAATGGATGAGCCAAGAGGTCTTTTAGCCAACATTTGCGGGCTTTGTCAGCTACTGTATGACGTTTTATGATGTTTTATGATTTTGAGAGTGATGAAATGTTCTGGTGAGCTTCTATTTTGGTGCTTGGGTACTTGAGTCGTGGAACTGTCCCTTTCGGTTGATTAGCGCCCTCGTAATATGGTTGTGGAGAAACGCAAGATGTGTGCTGATATTGTGCGGCAAGTAAACTTTGGGCATCCATAATCTCTCCCCTTTGCCTGATGCCAGAGCCGCCAGAGGCCCCTAAAAAGCATAGAAAGGTAGAACATCCAAGAAGCAAACATAACCAGGAGCAAATCAAACCCACACAAAGGGAGACTTGGAACATCTTGGAACAGTGACACGAAGAAGGACCGAACCGAAGGAAAAGGGTAATAAACAGCGTATTACAGCGTAAACCATTTCAAATTTTGGGCCAGCAAACCACAAGTTTGTTGGTGCTGTGGATATCCGTGGATGCAACATGATGCAACTTCAGAGCGCTAAATTTTCGGCAGTTCAGAATCAAATGATCTTGGCATTGGCCCCGCGTGGAGTTGGATTGGGCTGGGCCCAGGCAAAAAAAAACCCTCTGATCATGGCAATAGGCAGGACATCCCAATTTTTGACTTTTTTAGCTACATATTTTGAATGGGAACATATGGGAACCATCTTTAGATAAATGGGCTGCAAGAAAAAGATGATCCATTACCATGTTTGACTACCAGAGGGTAGTAGGAGACCATGACAGAGTCTGACCCTTGGCTACTTGGCTACAGATTTCGGCTCAGCCGTCCTGAGCCGTGCCATGACCGCGGTGGTCATGGCAGAGACCCGGCTGGAATGTTGACATTTGACATGTTGAAATATAGAGCTTGTGGGATCATTCCACTGAGCAACTGGTTAGTAACCTTTAGTAACCACCTCATATAATATATGGGATATAATATGGGATAATCATGGATCATCCGGGGGACTTGACTAACCAGGCTCAAAAAACGAGTTGCGATTCGTGGGATGATCTTCCAGGTGGGGCCAGGGCGTGCCCATGGGAGGTTCCTTGCCACCTGGGCCATTTGCCGAGGATGGGAAAGACTTTCAGTTCCCGGCCTTCTATCAGCTGCCACCATTCTTTACGCTGCAACCACACGCGGGGGTCCGTGCCAAGCAGCTGGAACTATGGAAACAGCTCATCTCTGAGTGCCCTGGCAGATGCTGTAGCCCAACAAAAACTGGGAGGTTTCTTGTTCCGAAATCAGAGGAACACTGGTTGACATGAGGAGATAGATAGGGAGATTTCACCTTACAAGGATGAGATATGGTTGAGGGGCATGGATGGGTGGCCCATTTCATTATGATCTGGTGACTCGGTTCCAATGACGATGACAGACTCGCCCAGCCCATTTGGGATCAAGCGTGATGGGCAGTCGTTGGCCGAACCCTTTATGATTTAGAGATGTTTAGAGATTGCAACCATCCCGCAGGAAACTTACCGCGGCATGGGAAAATCCACAGTGAGAGAGATGATTTCCCCATTGAACCCAACCATTTTTTGTCCGATTGCCCTACGCAAAAAAAAACATTTCCGGACAGTTGCCCGTTGTCCAACAAAAAGTGCGACGGCACGAGGTACTGCAGCTTCCACAGGCTTTTCATCATCAACCTCACAGAGGATTTCAAAGCACCAGTGACTGGTTGGAAATCCATGGCATTCCTCACGTTTCATCCGTTGCGCCGGCTGAACTCGTGAGATCTGGTGACTGGTTGGTTTTGATGTTCTGGTACGTTCCTGTTTGGTTCCCAACTAATTAATGTTAATTAATCAATATAACTAATGTAGTTCATGATATGATATGATAAGAATACACACTCTGCACAGTATCCACACACACACACACATATATATAATATAATATCATATATATATATATCATATATACATATATACACACCATATATCCATATCCTGTCCATTCCATGGCCATTCCATGGCCATTCCATGGCCATTCCATGGCAGGAGCCGCTTTTCCGGAACGCCTCGCTGCCGCGGCAGCTGCCCTTCGAGGCGCGCCTGGCGCTGGCGGAGCATCTGGTGACGCACAGCGCGGCCTTGTGGGCCGATGAAGTCGAAGCCAAGGAGGCGCCCAAGAAGGACTGGGAACTGCTGGGAACTGCTGGGAACTGCTGGGAACTGCTGGGAACTGCTGGGAACTGCTGGGAACTGCTGGGAACTGCTGGGAACTGCTGGGAACTGCTGGGAACTGCTGGGAACTGCTGGGAACTGCTGGGTATGATATATATATATATACATATATATATATATAAAATGTAATTAGACAGTGATAATATTCATGCTGCATAATAAGCGTTCATATTAATATCATTTTCCATATATAGTCAATGATCATAGAATAATATCCAATGGTTATAACATTTTTAAATGTGAGTATGAAAAGATATGGAAACCGATGATGATGATGATGATGATGCAATGATGATGATGAACTTTCGATTGGCATTTGGACCCCACAAGTGACTCCAAAATGATGGATGATACCAGTAAAGCAGCATAACATTGCTCCGGAAAACCCACCATTTAAATATGCAGGTAGTTTCCATTCATTTCCAAGTTGTCCTAGGGGAACTGTGGATTTCCACACGAGGAGCGCCTCCTGGTGCTTTGGCGCTCCGTGTCTGCTTGGGCCGATTTGATCCTCCAATGGGCCACCGAAAATGCCCTGATTGGTGTGGCGGCCCTGGGGTCTTGGAGCGGCTCTCGAGCTTGAAATCAAAGGGTCAAAACCTACACTCTCCTAGGTGTTGGGCAAAGCATGTTGTTGCGAAACCTTGGTATACCTTCTATATTTGGAAGTGTACAGTGGGAAACCATTTGAATCTTCATGTGCAAAGACCTGCAGCAGGCTTGACGCAAGGCATCCGAATCATACAAGTGCAAAGGTATACTTTATTTGGTTGCAAAGTAAAATCTATTTGCGCAGGCAGGCGACGCGTCACGCCATATCAATTGATAATTGAATGACGTAGCGGGGCTCTTTGCATCTGTCTTGTTCTGTCTGGGTGTAAAGCATCTTGCCTTCGGACAGTGGTTGAGATAAGCTGGTCAGCAAGGAGACACTCGTAGAGGTTGAGACGCGGAGTTCCATCCTCTCTTTCTCCAAGTTATGATTACCCTCTGGTAAACTAACATAACTTTGGAAAATCACAATTTTTAATAGGTAAATGATTACGGTAATTACTTCTTTTGTCAACAGCCATGGAAAATCACCATTTTCAATGGGAAAACTCACTATAAATGGGCCATTTTCAATAGCTTTTTGTTAAATAACCAGAGGGTACCATGGCATCCCATGGCACCCCCATGGCAATGGTTATTTCGAGGCAGCGTTGAGACGGTGCAGGGCTTGATTGACGGTGAGGCTGCGCAGGTGGCGCGCCTGGCATTGTGAAAAATGTTGGATTTTCATAGGGAAACCATATGGGGATGGGTCAAAACCACCATCTTTTCATAGGTAAATCATAGGTAAATCCCCTGTAGTTCACATGAAAATAGCTGGGATTTATGGATGGTCATCCCATTTAAACATGGTATTTTTATAGGTATTGATCCATAGCCATATGGGAAAATCATCAACGGTCTTTTTCTCATGTTCTTTTTTGGGATGCAGTCGGACAGGGAAATCAGATGAAACCCCTGTCCGTGCCTGGGTGATCTGGGTGTGCAGGGACAGGAGTTCTATGGTGCACCGCGGGCCTTGATCATGGCTGCCCTGCAGGATTTTGGGACGGTGGCTTTCGACCCAAGCCCGATTGATTGAACAAAACATATCAGAATTATATAGAACTATTCATAAAATGATAACCATCCCACTCATAGTACATAGGTGAATGGAAGGTGCATACATATGTGTATATGATTCTATTATACTGTGTATATATATATATTTAAACATACATACGCGCGCGTTTATTTTTTTTTAAGTATTCTGTATATTGATTCGTTTTTCCCCCTTTGGTTTTAATGAAAATAATAATGATAATTACTATTGAGATTATAGGTTATTACATATATACATACACACACACATATATATATATAAATATGTTTGGGTTTGGCCCCCTTTACCTTGGTCCTCAGTGGCCTCAGCGGGGTCCTCTGTCTCCTCCCAGCAGCACGTGTCAGCGCCGCCGCAGATTTTTGACATCAAACGGCTACGGGGTGCATTCCCCTGAGTGAGTGTGTGAACCTGGCAGGCAAGGTGAAGTGAATGGGCTATGGTTCGAACAGCCAAACACTCCCCCTGATCTCAGACGGTCGTCATGAGATCACCTATCTATTCTAAGGCGCTGGGAATTTCCATCCAGCTCCATTTAAATCACAAAATTTCCATGGGAAGTCAAAAACCTTTACGGTCTTCCCACAGTGCTGCATTTTGCAGCTTTCCCTCTCTCAGCCGCAGCTCAAGCCGTTCTTTCGTAGTGTTCGCAGCAGATTTGGCACTGCTGGTACGTCCTTGAGGACGTGATCCTCGGGCAACTTTGGTCTTGGTGGGCTGTCTGCCCAACACCTGCTGTGTAAATGGGGCCATCATAGCGCAGCCAGCGGGCGCACAGAGAGCACCATCGGCTTGGGTGCTTCACCCTCGTGTTGGCCAGGGTGGGGCACGTTGTGAGGAAGTGCCACTTGGTTCCCCATTGGGTCACGTAGGCGGGGCCTCTTCCCCTCCTCTGGTCTTCTGGCGTCCATTCTTCTGGCAGCTCTTGTGCCTCATACTCTCTTTCTGCTTCTTCTTCGCTTTCAGTCGCCTTTCCTTTGGCTGGACCTCCTTTCTGGCCCTTCTTTCCTTCTTCTTTTCCTTTTCTCCATCTGCCCTTGGCTTGGGTGCCGGGCTTCCTTTGAGGTCTCTGGCTGGTATGGTAGCGGAGCTATTGGCTGCGGAGCTGGCTGGTCTGGGGCTTCCTTTCCCTGGACCACTCTGGTCCCAGTTGGCATCCTCTGGGTGCTCCACTGGCTCCTGGACTACCGATCCCAGAAATTCATCCACCAATCTGGGTGGCTCCTCAGCTGGTTGGGATGGCGGCTGGGGTGCTTGCAGCAACGGTGTGTTGCTGCTACGGGCTGGTTGATCCTGCTGGATCCTTGGTGTTTGATCCTGTGGGATCATCGCTGGTGGCTGGTCCTCTGGGACCATCATCGGTGCTTGGGTTCGGAGTCTGTTCACCAGTGCTGCTGGTGGCGGTTTTGGCCTGGCAATGTTTCTTGGCAGAAGTGGCTGCAGTGCTGGATTCCCATGCTCGAAGGGAACCGCTGGGTCAACCTCCTCCTCATCTTCTTCTTCTTCCCTTTCTGGGGGTGTTTCTTCTTCTGGCTGGTTCACATCTCTTCTTCTTGTGAACAGCCTTCTCAGGATGGGCGCGATCCTTTCGATCAGTGACATCAGCCCGATGACTGCCAGGGCAAACAACACCATCGCGTGAAACAGCTCTGCCCTTTCTTGATCTTCTTCTTCCTGCCCTTGAGCATTCACCTGCCCCATGCATCCAACTATCACTGCCAGCTGGATCAAGTTCGTCGCCTTGACCAGGGCAATCTTCTTCTCACTTTCTTCGGCCTTCTTCTTCTCTGCTTCTGCTTCGTCCTCTGCGGACTCTCCTGTCTTCTCATCCTCTTTGGATGTCTTCTCTTCTTTCTTCATCTTTCCCATCCCCATCATCTTCTTCAAGACTTCAAGTCGTGGAGCTGTGAGGACCTTGGTGCCCACATCGGCGATCTGGTCCGCTCCTGGGATGGCTTCTGTCATCCAGTCGGTCCTGGATAATCTCCATCTGAGATTGGAAGCTCGCAGTCGGAGATGTCTCGTTCTCCATCCTCCTGCTGGTTCTGCAAGCAGGTTGACTGCAGCCTGATTATCTATCTTGATCATCTTGGCATAGGGTTTCTGGGCCAGTTCTTGGATCATCACATCCACGCTGTCGCCCATGATCATCCCTTCCACTGCCTCGGCCAGTTCACTTTCGGCCGTGCTTAGTGCCGGTGTTGGCTGTTTTCCGGCCTTCCACATGATGGCAGTGCTCCCCCACATCACCACTACGGTGCCTTGAGACTCCTGACCTCCAGGCCCATAGGATGAATCGGTGTATACCACCAGGTCTTCATCTTCATCCTTCTTCATCCAGAGTCCCTCTTCCAGGGTTTTCCGGAGATACTTTCTGGCCTGGGCTCCGACCGTCACCACTTCCTTGGGGCTCCTCAGGGTGGATTGGGACATCCTGGCGAGGGTGAACATCAGGTCGGGCCTGGTCTTCGTGCCCAGCCACATGAGCTCTCCCGTGGCTTTCTGGGCCAGTCGAACGCTCTCGACTGTCTTCTGGGGGTCTTCCTCCTCAAGCCTCTGGGACTGGTCCTTGGTTATGGGCACTCCTGAGAGATGTTCTTTCTCATCTCCACTCCTCTTCAAGACATCCTTGGCATAGCTCTCCTGTGTCAAGAAGATGCCTTCCTCTGTCTTCCAGATGTCAACGCCCAAAAACCTGACTGGCTTGTGAGGACCGAGCCACTCTGGTGGGCTTATGTCCCATTCTTCCTTGATTCTCTTGAGGCTTCCCTGGACTACTCCTTCTTCGCCCAGGATGAGGAGATCGTCTACATAGACGAGCATGACTCCTTTCATCTCTTCTTCCAATTCGTCACTTCTGATGACGATCTTCCAGACATTTGGGTCTGAGACCAACGGTCTGAACACCACCTCCTCTTGGCCATTCATCCATGACACTTCTCCGAGCGTGGCGTCGCGGTAGTCACCCCATGTCTTCGGTGACTGTCGCAGACCATACATGGCCTTCAGTGCCATCCAACATTCATTGGGATCTGTGTATCCCAGCTTCGTGAGCAGGTAGGGAGGTGCAATGAGCACCGTGCTTCCATCCAGGTCTGCTTCTTCTGCCTGGATTGGGGCATTCAGGAAGGCTGTGCGTATGTCTGCAGCGGCTCCTTCCCATCCTGCTTGGATCGCCTTCTTGACTGCGACCCTCATTGAGATTGTGTCGCTTCCTCTCGCGGAAAGCTCTTCGCCTTCTTGGCGTTCAGCATAGTTCCCGCAGACGACTATGCGGATCTTCCTTCTGCCACCTGGCTTCCTTGTGATGACGAGCTTGCTCGGCAGAATCGTCACCTCAGGGTGCTTCTTCAAGAGGTCTTCTTTCTCCTCTTTTGTGATCTTCTTCAAGGCTTCTTTCTGGACAAACAGCGAGTCCATCTCTGACTTGATCGCTGCGTCCCACAGGGGTAAATCCCTGATCATCTCCTGAGGGCTAATGATCTTGGTCTGCAAGATCTCTTCTTCTTGTGCTTCTGCTTTCTTCAGCAGCTTCCTCCATGGCTCAATCTTCTTGAACATCATCTGAGCATTTTCCACGGAGTCAACTTCAATGCTGGCGGCTTCTTCCTTCAGCATCATTCTGATGGACCTCAAGTTGGCCCTTCCTTCTTCTCTGATTGGCCTTCTGTCTCTGATTCTTCGTCTTTCTTGGACCTCGTCTCGGTCCGCTTCTTCTGCCAAAGCCAGCCACATCTGCTGTGTTGGCGGTGGTGGGTATCTCACATTCCTCACCACGTAAGGGGCGATTCCCCATCTTCCATTTTCCCTCAACACACAGTGGCCATGTGTCTCTACTACTGGCGTGAGGTAGTGTGACACTTCATGTGTCGCTCCCAGGAGCTTCGTTCTCCAGATCCTCTTCTTGATCAGAACCTTGTCTCCAAATCCTGGAATGTTCTTCTTCTCATCTCTTCTCTCCAGCCTCGCGGTCTCCATCAAGTACCGCAGCGCCATTGGCCACCACATCACACCCATGGCTGAGGCATGGAGTAATCTCCTCACCATTCTTTTGACCTCCCCCACGGCTCGCTCTGCACGGCCGTTGGCCATTGGGTCTTCTCCTGCATTTGTGCTGTGCATCACACCTCGGCTTCTCAGCCAGGTCTTCATCTTTCTGTTGACGAATTCCCTGCCTCTGTCCGTGTGCATGGTGTGCACAGGAAATCCATCTGCTCTCAACTGGAGATAGAGCTCTGCCACTCCTTCCAGCACTACTTCTTGGGACTTTCCTCTCATAGGGATTCCTATCCGGATCACCTCGATCACCGGCTCCCTCCTTTCTTCTACTGCTTCTTCTGGTTGGCCCTCTGGCCTGCCGTCTTCTTCTTCTTCATCTGGCATATCTGCCTCTTCTTCATCTTCTTGCTGCTCCTCATCTGGATCTTCTAACTGTGGTCCTTCTTCTTCATCTTCTGGTTGGCCCTCTGGCCTGCCGTCTTCTCTTTCTTGATCTTCCACCTGATCAGCCTCTTCTGCTTCTAGGGGTGGCGCTTCTTCGCCTGCTTCTTGTTGTGGCTTGATCCAGGTGTATGTTCCGACCAGCATGAACTTGGCCTGGCTATCAACGTCATTCCCCTTGTGAAAGGGTCCAGCCACGTCGAGGCTCATGACGCCTGCCTTCGGGTGAGAGATCTTGTGATGCATCCTCCCCCGGGCCGAAGCTTCCTGGCAGAACTGGCAATCACGCCGAAATGGCGTATGTCCTCTCTGGACATGTTCTTCCCAGCTCATCTTCGCTGCCCTTACTTTCTTCTTGAAGATCTGCTTGATGATCTGGGCAGCAACCTGCTTCATCATGCCAGGCGCCCATCTTGAGAGATCCTTTGACGATCTCAGAGGCTCATCATCTTTGGCCTTGATTTCTTCTTCATCCTCTTGAGAGTCTGGGAGGCAGAGTGAGAGGTTCCCTCCAAAGGTGGTTGGCTTCTTGGCCTTACCGCCCCATCTTGATTGGAGGAACGTCTGCTCCTTGAGCTGGTATCGGAGCTTCATCTGGATCCATTCTGTTGTCTTCCAGAATGTGACCACTGCTGGCATGTAGTGTGTTGGATCTGCTGGTTGTTCCAGGCCCAGGAACATGGCTTCTTCCTCTCCTCTCTTCAGTGCCTTCCTCATCTCTTCATGAGCGATGAACAGCATCAAGCCTCGCCACATCAGGACGTCATCTTCTCTGACTTTGTCCTGTTCTTTTTTTGTGTTTCGTGCCATACCCCAGGGCTCTTCCCAGCTTCTGACCGGTCTTGGGCCTCCTCCAGGCACCGGCAATGGGTAATGGCGAAGGACTGATCGAGTCCTACAGTTTGGTCCCATGATGACACCTTTCAACGTGCCATCGAGGGCGGCCCTCATCAGTGCAGCATATGGGCCATCATCAGCCAGCATGTCATGCTTTGGCTGTCCTTCTTCCTGCCGTAGGACGTCAACCTCCAGCAGTCTTCTCTTGTCTCCTCCGCACTCTTGCAGTGCTCGGCTTAGGGTGTACCCGTCCCTGCTTCCTGCGTACAGGTGGAGTACGAATCCTTCTTCTTCCATGATCTTCCTTCTTCTTCGGTTGCATTCTGGCAACCCCTTCAATGACTCAGTCGGAGTCACCACCAGCTGCTCCTTGATCTGAGCAGGTAGGTGCTTCAAAACTGGATGGCATTGGGTCATCTCCCTCAGCCACTTTTCTTCTTCTTGATTGACCACTGCCTTCTTGAGCCCGCGACCTTCTTGGGCACTTGTGGGCAACCATTACACATCGTGACCTTGATGTCACTTCGATGTGGGTGCGTCAGCTTCATCTTGCCTTGGGCCCAGTGAATGGCATAGCCTAGCTGGCCTGCTAGAGCGCTCATTGGGATGATTGGCTCCACCCCTTCTGCCTCCTCCATGACCATCACTCCTGACGGTGCCATCCTCATGTCTACCTGATGCCCATCGGCCAGGGTGACCTTCACCTTCTCATAGGCTTCGGTCTTTTCACCCTTCTTCTTTCCTCTCATGGCATGAGTCGCTCCACTGTCGAGCAGCCCATACTTCGTCTCCTCCTTGGCTATCCTCGACAGCCTCAAAACCCTCATCTTCTTCAGCTCGTCGAGCTGTGCCTGCATGGCTTGCAGCTTGACATCCTTCGATTTCTCCTCATCTTCTTGGTTCTTCATGGCCATGCTCTTCAGCATCTTGTTGGTCTCTTCTAGAAGACCCTTCATGGTCTCTGTTGATGCCGTCGCTTCTTCTTGTATCTCCTCTTTGACAGACTGCTCCTCTTTCTTAGGGCTGTCTTCCTTCCTTGCTGCTTTGGTCATCGGCCGTGACGACCATCCTTTTCCTTCTCCTCCTTTGGCGGTCTTGTCGCCTGTTGCTTCTTTGGGTCTGTTGCAAGCTGGTGCAAAGTGTTGTGTTGAACCGCAGTTCCAGCATCGCTTCTTGTCATCCAGAGTGTGCTGCCATGCGCACTCCTTGCCTTTCTTGCATCCTTCTTCTGAGATGAAGAATCTGCAGGGGGCTCTCTCACCTTTCCCTGACTTGCCTTCACCCTTTCCTTCTTCTATCTTCTTGATCTTCACCTCTGGCTGTGCTGTCTTCTGTGTGTCTTTGCTTGTGCTCTTCCTGCTGCCGTCAAGGTGTGCTATCTGCTCCATCTCTGCCAAGAGGTGTGTTGCGAACTTCCCCACCGTCTCTCTTGTTGGTGTGGAGTCCACTTGCAAGGTGGATCGAGCCAAGCTGACTCGGAAGTTCAGCTCCCTGTTTGCTTCCAGGGGCTTCTTCACAATCCTTCCCAGGCCCTTGAGGAGCAGGAACGGATCAGGCTCGCTCACCTGCAGTTCAATGGCCCTTCTTCGCCATCTCATCCACTTCCGCAGCGCGCTCACTGCGTCTGCCACCTCCAACGACCGGAGGATCACCTCCTTTTCAGCCAGTCCTCCAGGCTGAAAGGTCGTGAAGAGGTGACAGAGGATCTTCATGGCTGTGATCCTCTTTGTGGAGACCAGCTCCTCCTTCTGGGCTTCTGGAATGCTCATCATCAGCAGCGTGGATGCCCGTCGCTCCAGGCGTGTCCACCTTGGCTGCTCGAGCTCCTTTGAGGGCTTCGGTTCATGTGCCAGCCTGTCCAACGGACTCAGGGCCATGTGGTCTTGATACCACTGCCGGCACTCCTTCAGGAGCTTGTCCCACCACTCTCCTGAGGTGGCGGTCAAATCTGCCATGATTGGCTCGATCAAAGCCAACCAATCATTCAGGTCGATCGGACCTGTGGAGGGATTCCAATCCTGGAGCTTTGGCACTTCAGGGTGGCTCCGGACGAACTCAGCTTCACCTCCACCATCTTCTTTTCCTCCTTCCTTGGAGTTAATCTTCCGTTGCATCTCTTGCATGCTCTGCATCATCATTGCCATCAGTTGCAGAGTTCCAGGGGGTTCGTCGCCTCCTGTCTCCTTCCTGAGAGGTCTGTCAACCTCTTGTGGCATTGTCTGTCGGGTGGCCTCATCTGGCCTTGGGGGTCTCGCAGCCTCGTCGGGCTTTGGGGGTCTTGCGGCCTCTTGTGGCTCCTCATAGAACAGCTTCTTGGCTGTCGTGGATTCTTCTTCAGGTGTCCGATACTGGACTTCATCATCATCAATGGCTCTCTGCCGTCTTCCTTCTTGCCTCTCTCGGCTCATCATCTCAACTTCCCTCTCATGCAGCAGTCTCTGCATGTGGGTTCTTTCTTCTTTCTCCTGCAGCAGTCTCTGCAGAGTGGATCTTTCTTGTAGGAGCATGGTTCTCTCCATCTCCAACTCTTCTTCTCTTCTCCTCAATCTTTTCAACTCTTCATCTCTCAAGGCATCTGGCCTCATCTCTTCTAGAGTTCTCTCTTGAACTCCATGCGGATTCAGCATCGGTGCTTGCCTGCGCAACTCCTCATATCTCCTCAGTTGTTCCGCATCAAACAGCGGCTTGGGTTCTGGCTGGATGGCTGGCCGGAGCGTGGTCGGGCTGGTTGTTGGTCCACCGGGCCATCGGGGACTTGTCTCAAGTGCTTGGGGTGCTCCTTGGGGTCTTTGGAGGGGGGTCTCGGCTGCCGATGCCGTCTTCCCTTCCTTCTCCTTTTCCCTTGTAGAGCTTGTGTCTCCTCTTGGAGTGTCTTTCACGGTCTTTGGAGTCTTCCACTCCTCAACCCTCTTGGCTGGGGTCTCCTCTTCGGCTGAGGTCTTCCCCACACCCTCTTCCAAGGCTGGCTGATTGGGCGTCCCCAGGAACTCGCCTCCACGGCCTGTTCCATGTACCAGCGCTTGGCTCTCTTCATCATCTTTCTTCTCATCTTCCAAGGCCTTCTGTCGGCCTCCTTTCAGCACTTCCACCTCCTCATCAGCTTCATCCTCATCTTTCTCAGGAGCTCTTCGTCGTCGCTCCATCATCATGGGCCTTTTCTGCCCTCTTCTTCCCCTTGGCTTCTTCTGCCTTCAGGGTCTGCGTCTCCTTGGGCTCGTAACCTGTTTGGGTTTGGCCCCCTTTACCTTGGTCCTCAGTGGCCTCAGCGGGGTCCTCTGTCTCCTCCCAGCAGCACGTGTCAGCGCCGCCGCAGATTTTTGACATCAAACGGCTACGGGGTGCATTCCCCTGAGTGAGTGTGTGAACCTGGCAGGCAAGGTGAAGTGAATGGGCTATGGTTCGAACAGCCAAACAAAATAATATACATATTTATTTACCCTCTGGTAATTTGTTACATAGCTATTGAAAGATCCACCCAGCATTTTTCATGGGAAAATCCACGAACTAAATATCTATAAATCACCATTTTCAATAGCTATTTTGAATTATATTCCCTCTGGTAAACTAACATAACTATGGAAAGATCCACCATTTTTAATGGGAAAATCCACTATAGATATCTATAAATCACCATTTTCAATAGCTTTTTGTTAGTCATAACCGGAGGGTAACACCTTGGGAGCGGCACCACACAGCCTATGCCACAGGAGCTCCAGCGGCGCAATCGCGCCACCATCTTCAGAAGCTCCACGGGAGCGGAAGGTCCTTTGGTTTCATCGGGTTCCCCCGGGTTTGCCAAGGGGCTCGGGTGCAGATGGGGTTCAGAATGGGTTCATAATGGGTTCATAATGGGTTTTTAATGGGTTAATATGGGTTAATATATGGGTTAATGATGGTTAATGATGGGTTAATATGGGTTATAATAATGGTTAGCAGGGTTAGCAAACAGCAATGGTTGACGACTGTTAGTTTATGGTCTATAATGGTTAATGGTGGATTAATCATGATGAATAATGGTCAACAATGGTGAATCATATGGGTACAACCGTGGGACCGTGGGATATATCTGATTAAATCAGTTTGATTGTTTGGAGGCATTGAGCGAACACATGTGGCGGGTCTGAAGCAAATGTAAACATGAGGATTTTATCCAAAGAGTGGGACCATTGTTCTTGGAGGCTGTGTTCGATGCTACAGTGCAAGTGGGTGGAGTTTTTGGAGGCTTAAGCGGACAACATTTCCTTCGAACATCAGGACTGAAAACAGAACATGTTTTGGCATGCCCAAAACTAACAATTTGGAGTGTGAAAACTTTCTTGAATGGTTGTGTAGGTGTCTTTAAAAGAACCACTAGACTAAGCCATCGCAACCATGACCCAGACAATGTTCCACACATCATTACAGTATATTACAGTGATCTCGGATGGATGTTTTCTTCCCGCCGTGTGTGTTTCGGTCATCACATTTTAAGGCGCCCGGTCCTGGGTCCCTTCTTCGCCCGGTCAGGCGTCAAGTTCCTGTAATGGCCTGAAATGGCAGTCTCACGACCACAGCAGTGGTGCGAGCCGTGGCCAAAAATGATGGGGAGCCGGAAGCAGCAGCACCTGGGCTCGTTTTTTTAAAGTGGGCAGCTGTGTGAAATGCTGAGAAACGTCAACCAGAGGCCTGTCGCTGATGCAAAAATCCAAAGGCTGCGCAACATGAAGCATCAGACTATATCAGACTCAACTGAGTCAGAACCATCCCAAACAGTAAATCTCTTTTTGACAGGGCGTGGTGGAATGTTCGCAATCACTCTAAGTAAAGCAACAAACCAAAACTTATCCAGACACATCAATTTTGGAGTTTTGAAATTACGGGCGACTATTACTTGTTGCTGCTTGAAGGAAGTTAATTCATGAATTCCGGGTGAATATTGTTTTATTACCCTCTGGTAAACTATCATAACTATGGAAAATCACCATTTTTAATGGGAAAATCCACTATAAATGGTCATTTTCAATAGCTATGTGCGGTTTCGCAATCCGTGTGCTCAACTTTTGGCCAAACACACAGCCACCATGTTTCCCCCGTTCGAACACAGCAACTGAATCCAGTTCCACGTGATGGCGCCACCAGGGATACGAAAACGTGCCCGGGATACCCAGGGGATCAGGACGTGATTGAAAATAGGGCATGGCCTCAATTGATGGCTATGGCTGTCTAAGGCGATTGAAGGCTATCTAAGGCTATTAAGGCTATTGAAGGCTATTTAAGGCTATTGAAGGCTAAGGTTATGTAAGGCTATTAAGGCTATACGTAAGGCTATCTAAGGCTATCTAAGGCTATCTAAGGCTATCAAAGGCTATCTAAGGCTATCTAAGGCTATCTAAGGCGATTTAAGGTTATCTAAGGCTATCTAAGGCTATTGAAGGCTATTTAAGGCTATTGAAGGCTATCTAAGGCTATGTAAGGCTATTGAAGGCTATCTAAGGCTATGTAAGGCTATCTAAGGCTATCTAAGGCTATCTAAGGCTATCTAAGGCTATCAAAGGCTATCTAAGGCTATCTAAGGCTATCTAAGGCTATTTAAGGCTATCTAAGGCTATCTAAGGCTATCTAAGGCTATCTAAGGCTATCTAAGGCTATTTAAGGCTATGTAAGGCTATGTAAGGCTATCTAAGGCTATCTAAGGCTATCTAAGGCTATTTAGGCTATCTAAGGCTATTTAAGGCTATGTAAGGCTATCTAAGGCTATCTAAGGCTATCTAAGGCTATTTAGGCTATCTAAGGCTATGTAAGGCTATCTAAGGCTATTGAAGGCTATTTAAGGCTATTGAAGGCTATTTAAGGCTATCTAAGGCTATTTATGGCTATCTAAGGCTATCTAAGGCTATCTAAGGCTATTTAGGCTATCTAAGGCTATGTAAGGCTATCTAAGGCTATTGAAGGCTATTTAAGGCTTTTGAAGGCTATTTAAGGCTATCTAAGGCTATGTATGGCTATCTAAGGCATTCTAAGGCTATTAGAGGCTATCTAAGGCTATTTAAGGCTATCTAAGGCTATCTAAGGCTATCTAAGGCTATCTAAGGCATTCTAAGGCTATCTAAGGCTATCTAAGGCTATCTAAGGCTATCTAAGGCTATCTAAGGCTATCAAAGGCTATCTAAGGCTATCTAAGGCTATCTAAGGCTATTTAAGGCTATCTAAGGCTATCTAAGGCTATCTAAGGCTATCTAAGGCTATTTAAGGCTATCTAAGGCTATCTAAGGCTATCTAAGGCTATCTAAGGCTATTTAAGGCTCTCTAAGGCTATGTAAGGCTATCTAAGGCTCTAATCTGATCTAATCTAATCTAAGGCTCTAATCTAATCTAATTTAAGGCTCTAACCTAATCTAATATAATCTAACGCAGTCTAACCTATTCTATTCCAATCTAAGGCCGTCTATCTAAGGCTATCTATGTAAGGCTATCTATGTAAGGCTATCTATGTAAGGCTATCTATGTAAGGCCATCTATGTAAGGCTATCTATATAAGGCTATCTATGTAAAGCTATCTATGTAAGGCTATCTATGTAAGGCTATCTATACAAGGCTATCTATGTAAGGCTATCTATGAAAGGCTATCTATGTAAGGCTATCTATGTAAGGCTATCTATGTAAGGCTATCTATGTAAGGCTATCTATGTAAGGCTATCTACCTATCTATCTATCGATCTATCCATCTATCTATCGATCTATCGATCTATCTATCTATCCATCTAATCTAATCTAACCTAACCTAACCTAATCTAATCTAATCTAATCTATCTATCTAATCAAACTAACTATCTATCTATCTATCTATCTATCTTTTCCTATCTATCTTTTCCTATCTATCTATCTATCTATCTTTTCCTATCTATCTTTTCCTATCTATCTTTTCCTATCTATCTATCTATCTATCTATCTTTTCCTATCTATCTATCTATCTACCTATCTACCTATCTACCTATCTACCTATCTATCTATCTATCTATCTATCTAATCTATCTAATCTATCTAATCTATCTACCTTTTCCTATCTATCTTTTCCTATCTATCTTTTCCTATCTATCTTTTCCTATCTATCTTTTCCTATCTATCTTTTCCTATCTATCTTTTCCTATCTATCTTTTCCTATCTATCTTTTCCTATCTATCTTTTCCTATCTATCTATCTATCTATCTATCTATCTATCTATTCCTATCTATTCCTATCTATTCCTATCTATTCCTATCTATTCCTATCTATTCCTATCTATTCCTATCTATTCCTATCTATTCCTATCTATTCCCATCTATTCCCATCTATTCCCATCTATTCCTATCTATTCCTATCTATTCCTATCTATTCCTATCTATTCCTATCTATTCCTATCTATTCCTATCTATTCCTATCTATTCCTATCTATTTCTATCTATTCCTATCTATTCCTATCTATCTTTTCCTATCTATCTTTTCCTATCTATCTTTTCCTATCTATCTTTTCCTATCTATCTTTTCCTATCTATCTTTTCCTATCTATCTTTTCCTATCTATCTTTTCCTATCTATCTTTTCCTATCTATCTTTTCCTATCTATCTATCTATCTATCTATCTATCTATCTATCTATCTATCTATCTATCTATACCTGTTCATAGATTAGATGATTCACTGGTGATTTCTTTAGGGGAGGATTGCGGGGTATATACCATGGCGATCCATGGGCTAGCCAATTTTTGGACAAAACCTACGAGAGATGTGTGCTGGAGATCCCTCGCAGGCTTGGAAGAGGCTCCGATGCAGGGAAAGTGGGGGTGAGAAGCCGGAGGTGGAGAGGAAGGTCCGATATCTTTGATTTGTCAGCAATGAACGTGGCTGTTGGTTGATAAACCCTTAACATTTTCACCATTGTTGGGGGTAACTGTGGGTAACTGTTGGGGGTGGTTGGCTGAATCCAATGGGAGCCACTGCAGGCAGATCCATCCCGGGAAACCTGTGTCCATCCCGCGGCTGCTCGATAGCGCTCTGCGCTTGACAGCGGTGGCGCTGGATGGAGGACGGGACGACGGGACGGGACGGGGGATGTTTGGTGTGAATTGGATAGAAGCTGGGATGCAGGCGTAGTATAAAGATATACGAACATTGCACGCGCGCACGTATCTCTCTGTGTGTAATATGTATATATATATATAATGTGTAAATACATGGATTCTATATGTATATATATATATGTCCATATGGTTGTATATCTTAATGTGTATATTACATAAAGGAAGATGTGAAGTGCTACTATCAGCAGATCCCATACTTCGATCACCATTTTGCATCCCCAGGTGATGCGACTCCCGATCCAAAACAGGTCTGGCGCTGTCACATGGGGAGGGGTGAGGGTCATGCGGATGATGAACAAAAGCTGGCAGTGAATGGTGAACATTGGTGGTACTGCTGCCTTGATGTGGCTTTCCTGCTGCTCTTCAGTTCTATTGCCTGCGGTTGTAGACTTTTGATCATGGAAACAGGAAAGATCGAAGATAGTATGACACAGTAATTACGATATCAAGACGACAAACATGAATAAACATGATTCAAATGAAACAGATGAAGAAGATGAAGAAGATGATGACAAGCACGAAGAAGATGAATAAGGCAAAGTACAACATGATGATGATTATGATCACAATGATGAATAATATTATGATGAATAAGATTACGACAAATAAGAAGAATGTGATGATGAAGAAAATGCAGAATAACAAGGAGAAGACGCATAACAAGAAGAAGAAGAAGAAGAAGAAGAAGAAAAAGAAGAAGAAGAAGACAAGAGGAGGAAGATGAAGAGGAAAAGGAAAAGGAAGAGTAAGAGGAAAAGGAAAGGAAAGGGAATAGTAATAATAAGAATAAGAATGCTAAGAGTAATAATGATAATGATATTCATAATAATTATAATTATATATATATATATTGGAGTAAGCCTGGGAGTATAAACACCCCCCAGAAACAAGATGAAAATCGTGGTTTCGGCCCTGGCCAAGCAGGCGGCCGAACCCCCGGCAAACTAGGCGGCAACGTGCCGGTCAAGTTAGCAAAAATGCGAGGCAAAAAAGAGCAGCAAACGAGTAGAAATGTTGCCTCAAAAGGCACAACCTGGCACCACCATAAATTATTTATCATTATTTGCTTCCAAGTTGGAATGCGCCCGGCATTACTTCAAGACACCAGGTGCATACCGGGTTTTCATTATCGCTCTTAGCGCCTGCCAAGCTGACGGTTAAAGGTCTCCAGCGTCCAGCGCCGCGCATTGGACTGGACAAGTTGGTTGCGTGGACCTTGATTTCAGAGCAAAGCTGCTCAAGCAGCCGCCGCCCCTCAGGCAAGCAGTGCTGAGCTGACAATTCAGCTGAAAACTGTTTTGGAAAAAGAACGCTTAAATTGTGACTAGTTGTGACGGGTCTTGCGCTGGAGACGGCGGGGGCTTGGCAGAAACTTGGGAATAAGAACTTGACGCAAACCTGACGGCTTCGCGCTAACCTTGCAGAAGCCCGAGGCTGGTGGAAACCCGCCATGCAGGAACCTACCAAAACCCGGCGAAACCTGGCGGAACCCGGCGGAACCCGGCGGAAACCTGGCGGAAACCTGGCGGAACCCGGCGGAAAAAAAGTAAGTTGAAGGGGGGGGGGTGGTTGGGAGTATAAACCATGCCAAAAATTATACTCCCAACCACCCCCCCCTTCAACTTACTTTTTTTCCGCCGGGTTCCGCCAGGTTTCCGCCAGGTTTCCGCCGGGTTCCGCCGGGTTCCGCCGGGCCGCCGGGTTCCGCCGGGTTCCGCTGGGTTCTGCCGCCCCGCCGGGTGCCGCTAGGTTCCGCTGAGTTCAGTTCCGCCGGGTTGTGCCGGGTTTTGCCGGGTTTCCGCCAACAAGGTTCCTGCTCCCGACTCACCCTTCAATCTATTGCTAGGATTGTGCAAGGTTCTTGCCAGGCGTTTGCCAAGGTTGCGGCAATCAAAGTCAAAGAAGCGGTTTTTGCAAATGCCCGGACATTGTGCAAGTCAGCTCATGGAAAAAAACACCAATAAGATATAATAAGATTGCTTCCCTGGTGGAGTAGCAGATCTTTTTTTGCTGGGACCCCATGCAGAGGGGGATGCAATAGAGATTTTCATTGTTCAGCTTTTCCACATTGAAACGTACCAACATGTACCAACTTTCATCTTTTGCATTGAACACATTTGCCGTTGAAAATGTCCGTGTATTTGGCTTGGCCAGAGCTAGTTCGCGCGCTTTGCCGGGCCTCTTGCCGGCACATTTGCCCCTAATTTTGCTTGTCCATCACTGCTTCGGATGCTCTGCCATACGACTTGCCGGCACAAATGCCATGGCTTTTCGTTCCCACAGAGTTAACCACAGGCCGCTAAGTTTGCCGGCCACAAAACCCAAGAAATCGGGTTTCTTGAGTTGCGCCGGCCCTTCTGCCGGAGGTTTTACCATCCCTTTAGCCACAGTTTTGGGTCAGTTTGGCCCAAAAAGTATTTATATGAGTGTTTATACTACCTGGATACTTTCAATATATATATATATATGATGATGATTATACAATGGTTGTTTTTCTTTATGCTGCTTCACGAAGATGAACGCTAGTGCACGGAGACTTGATCTCCTGGTGAAAGGCTGAGTTGCAGCTTTGGTGGGGGCCTCGGGCAAAGGCCACCCAGTCGCGTTCAGATAGGAACATTGAGGGTTTTTGCGCCTCCATTTTGGTATGAGGGTTTGCTATAGTTTGCTGTAGTTTGCCATAGTATCTCTTCTAGATCTTTTCGTGTGGATTTTGAAAGATGCATGCTGCTGCTATTGGATTCTCATTGTGGGTCAAGCCTGCCAGCGGCAGCCGCTGGTTGCGTTTGTGCTTCAGTCCATGAAAAACGAAAGTGCTATGAAGGGGGTGCCGCCAAAGCTTGTTGCCCAAGAAGGACCTATATAACTGCACCAAACATTGGCACTGAAGACTCTTGTTTTCATTTGGAATCATGATGCCACCATTGACTCAAAACTTCCAGAAGTACATCCTTCAACTTGACATGTATTCCACCATTCGGCCAAAATCGCTTCACACCATCCATCACCATGTCATTCCCCACCAGCGAAACGCGCAGCCTGCGATCCAGCAGCTTCATGGGTGAAGGCATGAAACAGTGGTGATTAAATAGTGGTAGATAGTGGTCAGTCATCAGCCCTTCATAACCGAAGGCAGCAGTTTCAGAGGAAACACTACTAGTAAGAAAAAACAGTGTTTTACCCATGGCTGGATATTTTTCACTGCTTTGATGGACCATAGATGCCCGACGAGCAAAGACAAGTCATTTTGAGATTATTTATTGATTTGTTTTCTTACTTATGTGTATGACCAGGGCTTTGGCCAAAAAAATGTGTATGATATGCAACGGAACAAGTATGGGTTTGTCTGAAAGTCTGAAAGTAAGGTACCCCTAAAACCTACTGGTTGATAATCATTTTTCTATTAGAGTTGCTATTTAGGGTTTAGTCATTTAAGCACCATTTTCAGACAAGCCCATATGAAACAGTTCAAGGGAAAATCGGCAGGATACACACCATATTTAGTGATTAAAAACATGGTTTCAGGTAGATTTTCCAACCGATCCATTGAATGAAACAAACAACTTTTGCTGGTTATAATCCTCATTATGGTTTATTATGGTTTATTATGGTTTATTATGGTTTATTATGGTTTATTATGGTTTATTATGGTTTATTATGGTTTATTATGGTTTATTATGGTTTATTATGGTTTATTATCCTATTATCATCCTGTGATTATCCCGTTCTCATCCCATGATTATCCCATTTTTGTCCTGTTATTATCGCATTGCCCTCCTGTAAACTAACATAGATAAGGAACAACAACCATTTCTAGATGATTTTCCGAACAGGAAACCATGGCTTTTCCACATCTATGTTTCTTTTCGGGTACCCCTCCAATCTGGGCAGGTCTCAACCGCGCCGCCCAGCTGCCTTTGGACGGTCTTCAGCTGGGCCGCAGCCGCAGCCGGACCTGGACCCCGCAGCATCGACGAAGCTCGGGCGTTTTTTCCAATCGACGCCTCGATGAATGGCTGTTTCCCATCGAAGACGAAGAGGCGTCACGTGGCATGGAAAAGATATGAAAAGATGAATGACGTGCTACTTGAAACAGGGAAAAAATGGAAAATGAATGAAGAGATTAATGATATTAATGAAAAGATATGAATGAATGGGGAGCTGGAGAATTTAGGATGATGCGGGGATAGGTATCATTGACGAACTATCATGCGCGCACAGTCTTTTCGTGAATATTGTATACTGTATACGGACACGCACACAGATATATTTAAATATACATATACAGTATATACACTTAAGATGTAGACGCAGACAGCTCCAAATAATAAATACTATATAACCTTCCTTGAGGAGTTGCTAAGCAATGCAATCCGCCCTGGCGCCGGCCCAAGGTACGCAACATGGGTCTCAGGGCCCCGGCAGCAGTGGCTACAAAGTGTTCAGCGTTACGGAGGCTTTCGCGGATGGCTGCTGGAGGGACTCGAGCTGCGAGGCGGGCGTTGCGAAGTGGAAGTGGTTTTCACCACGCTGTGAAAACTAGGACTGGTTCAATGGTACTTCCCCTATGTGGAAAAAGGCATTTTCTACGGTTTTTCCGACTACTTACTACTTTTTGTATATTGTTTGTTTCCCTCTTTTAAATGTGTTTGTGATGTTCATGTGGGTAACAGAGATTCTGATGATCATGCTTGACACGGGGGGTGTCGTGGTTTGAGCTGCAGGCATGGATGACAAGAACTACCTACTGGGCCTCCGCTGGCTCTCTGGAGTGGCTTTGCCACACAGTGCGCAAGCAGAGTGGGCACAGAGAAAGACCATTGCGGAGGACTGGAGCATCTGGAGCCAAACATCCCACCAGGGCTTGTATTGAAAATGTTTTTTTTTTTGAGCAAGAAGATACAGTAGTCGTGAAGATCATGTATGCTGCATGTGGGTTATAATATATTATAAATGGGCATTGATGGTTAGTTAATAGTTATGCTGTTATGCTTATCGATTGTATTACTTACATGTTATTTGCATGTTACCCGTAATCAAATGTGGCTGGCTGGAAATAATATCATTAAATATACCGCAATATACCCTCTGGTTATTTAACATAACTATGGAAAATCACCATTTTTAATGGGAAATTCCACTATAAATGGTCATTTTCCATGGCTATGTTAAATTACCAGAGGGTAGTTCGATGATTTCCCCCTTATATTATATAAGCCCACCATTGAGTGCCGTGATTTCACTTCAAGCCAGCCACGCAGAAGATGACACATTTATAGGGTATCCCCACAAAAAATCCCCATTGCATACACATTCAATCACCATTCAATCACCACAAACTGCCATTAAATAACCAATAAATATCAATAAATCACCATTCAATACCTATCACATCCTACTGTGGCCTCTCTTTTGGGGGCACCAGGAGGGCACCGTGACCTTCGCAGGAGATCGAGAAAGATGTGCCACGCACCTTTCCAGGCCATCCCTGCGAAGCGGCCTTGGCCCGGTCCTCCCGCGACATTCTGCGGATGCTGTGCTGTGCCCGCAACGTGGCCCGGCATGGCCCGGCGACCTTTTTTTGTTCACATTGCTAGTGTTGATTTATGGTTGAGACATTGTGATTCTATGTTATTGTTGTTATATATGTAGCCTCTTATCTTTTGACTATTGTTATTATCCATGACTTGTTATATTGTTCATTTTTTAGATATATCTGACGATGTCTGTTATTCTTATTACTATCTATTGCTACTACTGTCATTGATTTATGTTTACTTGAATTGTTGTTATGTTTCTTGCCACTGTCATTATTGCCATTGTGATTATATATTCTTATTCTTACTCTGATTCTGATTCTTATCTACATGTGCTATTGTATAGTATAAGAAAACTGATTGGTTGCAAGTTGCAACTGATTCTGATTCTGATTGTTAATTGATTCTGATTCATTTTTGATATAAACTTCAACAACCAACCAGTCTTGGTTCAGTTCACCTGGATCTTTTCATTTTGGACCATAGAATCCATGGTGGAAATGATGGAAACAGGTCACCAGCTTGTTCCGAGGTCACCGTGGGCTACACGCAGGGCCTGAATTTCACCGCGGCGGTGTTGAGTTGCACCATGGGCCGTGACGAGGCCTTCTGGTGCCTCACAGCCTTAGCCGAGTCGGTGGCGGCGCACTTTGTGTCCGGGAACATGCTCCAGGGCGCGGTCGCCGATTGTGAATGTGGCTGGCCGAGTATTCCGAATCTGTTGTTTGTTCAGTCTTGTTTAAAGGATTTTAAAGGTCCAATCCAAGGTTCATGGACATCAGCTAAACATCTGTGAGCCATACTGGGCCATCTATATATGGACCCTTTTTCAACATATTCCAATGGTCATCAGGGATGTACCCTCTGGTTATTTAACATAGCTATTGAAAATGGCCCATTTATAGATGGTTTACCTGGGTTTACCTATTAAAAATGGTGATTTTCCATGGCTATGTTAGTCATAACCAGAGGGTAAGCCCATCATCCCATGTGGGGAATCAGCGAGGCATTGATTGGTTGGCCTCGCAGTTGGAGCCGAAGCTCTTTGCTTTGTGCCGTAGCTCCGAGGGTGACTTGGAGAAAACTTGGGATTTCATGGGATTTCAACTACCCTCTGGTAAACTAACATAAGTTAACTATTGAAAATGGCCATTTATAGTGGATTTTCCCATTAAACATGGCGATTTTCCATAGCTATGTTAAATTACCAGAGGGTAAATGGGTATGTCTGAAAATATGGTACCTGAGTCTTGATGGTTTATCATGTTGCGAACAATTCGAATGGCAACTTGGGAATTCCCATTTTGGGATATTTTGGGACAAACCCAGGCAGTGAGTACCCCCTGCTAGTCAAACATGGCTAGCAGCCGGAACCACACTTTTAGCCTTTCATTCGGGCACTTCACTTGCAACCCAGAGCCATGGATCTGCTGGACAATATTCTTCGTGGGTGTAATTTCTAGTATATCTATGTATATCTGGGATACCTACAGTAGATGGACAAACAAATCAACCCCGACAGATATCTACCAAGTAAAATCCCACACCCCAAATTGCAATGTTGAACAAAACTCTCTCTCTCTCTCTCTATAGCTTCCTTTGCGTTCAGGGTTTGATTTTTTTTGTCCACCGGACCCAAGTGCGCAGCCCAAAGACAACATTGAAATTTGGGGGTGCGGCGGTGACAACAATACAGCAGGGCTTTGCTTTCATCCTCCATCTACGGTAGGGCGACGGTAGGGAAGAGCCTACCCTCTGGTAATTTAACATAGCTATGGAAAATCACCATTTTTAATGGGAAAATCCACTATAAATGGCAATTTTCAATAGCTATGTTAGTTTACCAGAGGGTACCCAAATTCCAAGGATATTCTTCGGTCATCTTTGCACGGCCTCTATGCACGCTGCTCTCATGCTGCGGATTGCCCGTTGATGCCACTCTGCAATGTTGGCGGGCCATTCTTCATTCCAGCAACCCGAGGACGAGCCAGAAAGGGACATCAATTCTCTTCTTTTTGCAGATTTTGGATGTTTGATGATGTTTGAAAGAGTCGCCGATTTTTGGCACCTGGTATTGGTCCGTCTGCCAATCTGGGAGTTCTTCTTGTAAGAGTTTGTTCTTTTGTACGGCCTATTAGGGTCCCAAAGGATGGATGCGGCATGATGCGGCGATTTGCCATTAGGACCCTACTGTATCTCCTGCCCTGCTCGTACCTGATCTCACATACTTTTATATAATTCCCTTCCCATATCTTCCCATGTTAAGAGTAAACACCATCCCGGAACCATAGAATGAAGATGTTGAATATTAGGGGCTATCCAACAAAATCATGGGATTATAAAATCCACATCAACCATCATCGGAAGATATGGGAACATAATGGGGACAGAATGGGGACATCATGGAAACAATATTTAACATGTTCTTTAATCATTTGATTCATATACGAATCCATAGTAACCATGAGTACCCTCTGGTAATTTAACGTAGCTATGGAAAATCACCATTTTTAATGGGAAAACTCACTATAAATGGCCATTTTCAATAGCTATGTTAGTTTACCAGAGGGTAACTCCTATTTCGCCATGTTTTAAACATGGTGCCATCCGCCGCAGAATCTTCCTGCTCCGCACCCTGGCCGCCTTCGTCCTACAGACCGCAGCACGGCTGCTGGCCGCTTCAAGCGGTGCCTCGCTGGAGCTCCCAGAGTTGATGGAGGCCTTGCAGAAGACCTTCCAACAGACCTACGATGCGCAGGTGTCGATGGGGTGATTTGGAGATTTGGAAGGACTATGGAGAGGACTATGAATGTGGGGTGTTTTACCATGACGAGTTTTCAAAGACATATCCTTAACAACTTCAGGGATCATGCCATCGGCGTGTCATGCACATGATGGAGAATTAATGGGGATTATATACACTGTGATTCTATATGATCCTACTGTAACTACAATCAACAGGGCCAGAGGGAGATGGTCATGTTGATGTTGTTTTCTGTGTGCACATGGCCTCAGAGATAGGCCAGGCGCATACACAAAGACGGGATCAACACATTAATCACTAGCCCATGTTTTTTTTTAAAGAAATAAGCATACAAAATGACAGAAACTCTGAATCCCTGCACTTTGCTGGCAAGAACCTCTGATAATCATCACAGCTTACCTCATCAGAGGTACTTTGCCACTGACGTCTCTAGCTTGGATTTGAAATCACACAACCTACAAATCACCACAAGACATGACTGCAGTGTTTCAAAAGGAGCAACATGTCACGTTTCACACCCCCCAGTTGGTTCATGAATATAGGGGGTTACGCTTCCCCCCTTTTACTTGGGACACTACCCGCTAGCAACTTAACATAGCTATGGAAAATCATCATTTTTAATAGGTGAATGATCTATTGTCCATAGCTGTTGCGGGGTACCGCAATCCACGGGGAAATTTGCGCCTGATCACGCCTATTAAAACAGGTGGTGCTCTCAGCGGCCGCTGCCAGTGTTGAAATCTTACCAGCCTCTTGGCGGCTGGTTTCAACATTCTTCCACTGTCAGCCCCTGTATTGTTGCGTAGTTCTACGTCATTTAAATGAATAAATGATGATGAATGAATAAGTCAATGACGGGGTTATTAATAATTCACTGAACGACTAAAGTATATAAAACAATATGTGTGCAGATGATTAATCAACATCCGTATGTATGCACATACCTTGCCAAGCCTTGCGCCCCTTCCAGCCTCAGCCCCTCCCAGGACTCCACACTTTCGAAGAAGTTGGAGGAGATCGAGCAGCGGCTGCAGCAGTCGGCGGCCGAGTCGCATCAGCGAAGGCAGATGGAGAACCAAAAACTGCAGGAAAAAAGGCTGAAACAGCTGGTCTTGGAGGACTGGAGATGACTCGAGATGACTCGAGATGAGAGAGAGATATCGAGTCAATTGCCTGGCAATTGAGGCAATAGTCAGGCGATAGTCTGGCATGCCCTGAACAAAATCAATGTGGTAGCAAGGGTCCCTACTGCACACCCGGAACCCACAGGTAAATCAAAGCCACGAGGGAAACTTGGCGGGAGCAGCCCTGTTCAGCATACAGCAAAAAATCCCATTCGATTTCATTGAAAATCAATGAGTATCACCATTTGATGGTTAAATCATAAGTCAAATTCGAATATTCCCATTAGATTCACATATTTGCTAGTTAAATCCCATAGTATTCCCATTAGATTCACATATTTGCTAGTCAAATTCCCATAATATTCCCATTAGATTCACATATTTGCTAGTTAAATCCCATAGTATTCCCATTAGATTCACATATTTGCTAGTCAAATTCCCATAATATTCCCATTAGATTCACATATTTGCTAGTCAAATTCCCATAATATTCCCATTAGATTCACATATTTGCTAGTCAAATTCCCATAATATTCCCATTAGATTCACATATTTGCTAGTTAAATCCCATAGTATTCCCACTAATTTCCCATAAGATGTGGCTTCAGGGCCGAGTTGGGGCGCTCTTGGCCAGGACAGAAGCGCAAGGCAAAGCTTGTTGCGTGAAATGCCACTGGGGCTGAACCATGGATGACGCTTGATGGCGCTTTCAAATACAGTGCATCTTAAAAAGTAAGATGAACAGAAACATCAGCAGAAACCAAAGAAAAACAGCAGAATATAGCAGAATGACAATAGTTCAGATATGTTCAGATCATTTTGACCAAAGGCGGCCTCCGGCTGAGAAGTACATACCCGGTACCTCGAGTCCAGTCCAGCACCTGGCTGAGGCAATTATTGTGGCGACATGAGCGGCATCGAGATGTTTCCAAGCTGCTTCAGAGACTGTGGGTTCGTTGCCAAGGGTCAACGAAAAAAACCTACCCGAAACTCTGACCTAACTGGTCCTTCGACCGGCAACATGCAGAAGTTATTGGGCCCAGTACCCATTATCATTGGATTGGTTGGAGCCAGAAAATAGAGGAAACTCCCTACAATTGGTGGTAAAAACTACGGTTTCCTGTAGTTTTTGATAGGTTTTCCCTTCAACCAACCCCTTGACAGTACCCATGACAACTCAATTACCTATAAATAGATAAACAAATAATAAATAATTACATATAACTACATAAATAATATTAAATAATTACATAAATATAAATGTATAATGTATATTTAAATCGATACATACATCTGTATATATATATATATATGCCAGAGCATTCAAAAAATCATATTATATTATATCGTATTATATCACCATTTATTTATGCCATACTATCCCCATTTGATGCCCAGCTGGTTTTTGTCCCAGGTGTCACAGCTGGACTTCTTGATGCTTCTGGCAGCAGATCACCTGGACGTGATCGGGGTGAAGAGCTCGACCTGGGAGGTTCCAGCGGTCTATGTAAAGCTGTGGGATATTGTGGGATGGTGGTTGAACCAACCTCATACCCTCTGGTAAACATACAAAAAGCTATGGAAAATCACCATTTTCAATGGGAAAATCCACTATAAATATCTATAAATCACCATTTTCAATAGCTATGTTAAATTACCAAATGGTAATGGTTTTAAATGGTAATTTAACCAACAAGACTGGGTTTTTCTCATGATAGAAAATGAAAAATCATCTAAAAGGCTGTAGTTGGAAGGTAAAGCATGATGTTTCATGGGGATTCAAGGTCCACCAAAAGGTGATCCCCCCCCAAAAAAGGGTTTATTGAGGGTTTAGTACTCACAACAGCCACTAAGGGTTTGTTAACTATTCATCGTTGGGGGCGGTCACCTTTGGTGGGGGAAGTTGATTCCAATCATGTCATGTTTTGCTGCGCATCACTTCAGAATCGCAATGGTGCAATGGTCAGAATCCTCATCCTCCTGGCACCGGACTCCAAAAATGATGCTTTTGAAGTGACCATGATTCCAAAATCACCCATGACATCCCACTGGCCGCAGGCGTTTCTCTCCACGGTTTTCGTGGATCTTGATTCCTCCCATTCTGGCATGGTGCTGCTGCTCCTTAGCTGAGGGCAGCCATTTTTTCGTTGCTCCCGGAGCCCGGCTATTGCTTTCAAGCTCAAACAAGCAATAAAATGGGATTCCTTTGAAAAACCTTATGTTAAATAAATCTGGAGAACGCAATGAAACACAATTCCTAGCTTGACAAGAAATGGAAGGCATGAACCAACAGAAGATTGAGGTTTGCATTGGGTTAACAAAAATTGCATTATGCAAAAAGATCAGCTGTGCTTCTTTCAGCTTCAAGACCTCAGCTTTTGAGTTTGTTTGAGCATGGGCGTATCCGGCGTACCCCCCAAAATGGATAGTTGATCATCATTTTTCCTGTTAAAATTGCCGTATTTGAGGGTAAACCCCCAAGTCTCAGACAAACCCATCCATCCCATCAATCTTTCATTCGTTAAATCCATACATATGTTTGATGGTTACATCCCTAATTATTGTAATTTCGGTAGTGGCGAATTCTCAGACACACAGCAATTTTGTTCAATGCCGAGGAAGCATGCCCTCATTGCGGTGGCCCTTCTGTTGGGCGAGACACCGCTGGAGCGACTGAAGGGTCACCCGAAAATGGTGAATTGCTGATCAAATATTCAAATGAAAAAGGTCCCATAGTTAGACCACCAGGTGGTTCATGCATCCAGGGTTTGCATGAGATTTGACATTTTGAATGTTTGCGTTTCCGCATGCTTGACCCTAAGTGCTTGGTAATCTGGGCAGATAAATCCAATGGCCTTCGATTCCAGGACAGTATGCCTGGATGGATTACCATGCCGCCTAATGGTTGATCAGTGGCTATGGAAAACCACCTGACAGGAGAGGGTTTCTGCGATCTTCTCAATGTTGGAGATCGAGAGCCTCTGCTTGCGTGATGACTTTTTGGAGTTGGCGGAGGTCATTGGTTGCTAGCCGTTTTTGTGCTTGGAAAGGTGGTACAGTAGAAAGGATGATAATTAGTTTACTTGTAGCTAAGTTGATATAAATTGGGTCATGTACTGTGCTTGGTTTCTTTGGTATTGCTTAGTGGTTCCTACTAGACATCACGGTGGACTCCTGGACCAGTGACATTGGTCGATGGAGGGATAGTCCTTGCCAGGCGACGGGGCAAGAAAACTCGGCCAGTGAATGGCTGGTCGCCAATGGAATTACGGAGAACCTGAACCAGAATGTTTTCATCAAGGTGGTCTAGAAATTTCTGAGATTTTCAAGCCTCAAAATTGGTTCACACGGAGGGGAGTCTACACATATGTAGACATACATACACACAAAGCTAGAACGATTTGGTATGTGAGGTTGCTATTGCAAATTGCAATTTTTGTGTGGCTTTCTTTCTTTTTGATTTTCTATTTTTTCTGGAGTGCAAGCCATGGAGCTGTAGCAGAGGTGGAGATGTTTTGCTTCAGTGTGGAATGTGCAGGATCAATTTCGAAGTCGCCCTTCCCGTCCCTGAGCTCCCAGGCGTTGCTGGCACTTCCTTCCTTGGCACTGGCGACTTTATCGACTTTAGACTCCAAACCCGGAAACGCGGGAAGTTTCAGTATCTCCTTCACATCTTCCTCGGGCACCTTGCTACCGGTGGCTCCAAAGTGGCTTGGTCACGGCGAGTCTCAGCATGATGAAACAAAGGGGGTATCCTGTGTGTGAGGGTGTGTGCAGAGTTAAATAGATTCAGAAGTGGTGTACAATGGTGTGCACATATCTATCATTGGTGTTTGATTGGTGCTTGCCCCTTTCCATCCCTTTCCTGCATAAATTTTGAAGTGCTTTGAACTGCATCTTCCAGATAGCCGATGTGAGGTGGGTCCCAGACGAGCAGCAGGTGCAACAACCCATCATGTCTGTGGGGGGGGTCTGAAATGGGGACGGTCATATGAGTTCACCCAAATCGTCTTTTTTACGTTGCTCAGATGTCAGAAACAGGAAATGCGTGCAGCCAAATTGCATGAACTTTAGAGCGAGAATGAACTTTGGTGCGAAGCCAGGGCTGGGGGTTTGGAACTCAAGATTCTGTTATTTTTTGCTTTTTGTTTCTTTCTAGCAAAAAAAACACTAACTACACAAAGAACCTGTAGATTTGATGGTCTCTAGACCTGCTGCCCAGGTGGCTTGCCAACTCTGTTCAACATCCTTCACGTGTTGTCGCCGGCGGCATCACTGTCGCGCCTGTGGGCGACGGACATGTCGCCAGTGTAGTGGTCAGCGGCTGGCATTGGCGATCATCGGATATCCGAATCCCGTGCGAGTCTGTGACTTGTCAGCTTCGGTGTGCCGGGGTGTGGCTGGACCTATATGAATGACGGGATTGACTTTCTTACCTGCACTCCATGGATTATTTATTATACGTATATTATACGTATGCGATGTCCAAACTAGGGTTTATGTAGTTATTTGATGCTATTTTGCCTATCTTGAGTGAGAAGGTTGGGGCTTGCGGCTTGTTCAAGCAATGTTTACGGGAATCCTTTCTTCATAATGCATCATGAATACGACATAATATGACTATGGCCTCGGTTGATTCAGTTGATAGGACATCCTGGGAACTGGACAAATTGATCACTGAGGCGATGAATGTTTCTTCGTGCTGAGTCCAGCCGTGTGAGGAAACGAAAAAAAGGAAGTCACCGCGGCTGCCACGGCCCAGTCCTATCAGTACCAGCCAAGAAGGAATTTCATGATTGCAAGCAGATCTGAATGGGACTAAGCATGTCAGGAGATTTGAGAGGAATATTGTACATAGCTGGATCTTTTGGTAAACATGTGACTAGAGCCTCATCCCTTTGATCTTTTTTTTGCACCCCGTCATATCCGGACAGCTGTCCCTCATTGAGTTCACTGTCTATTTCAGAAAAAGGACGCATTGGAATGCGTTGGATGTAGAGAGTGATTTCTTTGCATTTTCCTGCAAGGTGGTGCCTCATTGACTAGTTCGATAATATCATTATATATCAACCATATAGTTGTTGGAGTTGTTAAACCAACTTGGCCAACTATGGAGCACCTCCTTGTGTTCTTTGCTATGTTCGGAGGTCGTTAACAGGTATACTGAAAGGTGACAGCAACATATATCTCCAATTGGAAGCTAAGCTAAGGACCTCTGATGGCAAGGTCCAGCACTCAGCTGCAGACATGACAAGCAAACAAAGCCCGGAAAGATGCAGACAACCTGTGAGTCGCAGCGTGAGACATGAAAAATACTCTATCTGATCCCATCATACTGGTTCTGAAATAGGAATATCCCTATTTGTCACGGGTATTTATAGGTTATCATTACCCATCATAATCCCCAATAGCTCCGGTAGTATACCCCCTATACTAACCAATCAACAAGGATATGGTGATGGCCCCACTGGTTTTACTTGCTGGAGAGTGACGGGGATTTGATCGTGACATATTTAGTCAATGCTTTTGTTCTTTTTCTGTTCTCCGCGTAAAAATGACATTGTATGTTGTAGGTAGGTAGATAGATAGATAGATAGACAGACAGACAGACAGACAGATAGATCTTCTGTGTGACATGTATGTTAATGTATGTTACTGTTAATGTATGTTAATGTATGCTAATGCATCTTAATGCATCTTAATGCATGTTAATGCATGTTAATGCATGTTAATGCATGTTAATGCATGTTAATGCATGTTCTTTCTTTCTTTCTTTCTTTCTTTCTTTCTTTCTCTCTCTCTCTATTAATGTGTACTGTAGGTAATGTAGATAATAGGCAATGTGTTTTTCATTTGAATCTCGCTCAGGAGCTGGACATGGCAAATTGTCAGCGCTTCACGCTATCAAGGTGGGAAGCCTTGGAGTCCGGAGTCCAGGGCAGAAATGCTGCACTCGCCGTGGCAAGCATGGCTGGCTGGGGAAAAGAAATGATCCAAGGGTAAGCAATGATGACCAGAGGGTAAGCCGCCTTTTTGGCTGGTAAAGCCAATTGGTTTCCGTTTCCGTAGATGTTCCTAGAAATCAACCCAGTGAAAGGGGCTGATGCATAGATGATCAGACACTATCCAGTGAAATGGCATGTATTGTAACTCAACTATCCGATTTTCATACTGTTAACAAAAGTAGATTCACACACACAAAGTATACATTTACGTAGCACACACACACATATGCATAATACATTACTATCATACACATTTAGATACTAGTATCATTATTATTCTTATTATACTACTACACACATGCTTATATATATATATAGTATATACATGCACGCGCATACATTTATACATATGTGTCGATTAAAGAATGTCAGTAGCAAATGCAGCATGAAAATTGGTTGAAACCCTCCAGTTCCAGGCTAAGTCCTAGTGCTGCGCCGCTCGAACGGTTGAAGGCATGGTGGCAGAGGGTACCCCACAATCCACTGGTTGAAACATCCAAATTTTCCGTGGTAAATAGTGGGAAAAATAGTGGGAAGATGGGAAAATAGTGGGAATAATTGTGGGATAACAGAGGTTGACATTGCCTGGCTATTTGTGGGCCATATTCTTCCATACCTTCCATCTTGGTGCACGGTGCACGCCGGAAATTTCCAGATTCATCTCAAAGAATTGTGCATGCGGCGAAGAAATGCTATAGAGAGATATCTGAAAATCACTGCTTCTTCCATTTTGTGATCACCGGAAGACATCTGCAGATCAAGCCACCCGACCAGCTTGTCAAGGGAAGACTGACAGGGTACTAATGGCTTCCAAGCTTGTGCTGCTTCCTACCCTCCTCCTGGCATTGGCCTTTGTGACTTTGTGCGCTCAGTCCTTCGTGTTTGGTGGCCGACCCGTGTCCACCAGCTCTCTGCGAAGCACCGCACGAGCAGCAGTGCCAGAAGCGCTTGAGCTGCAGACTTCGATGACCACTGCTTTGGAGGTGTCCACTCCGGGCTGGTGGGCCAACATCGTGACAGTGGTCGTGCCCTGCGCCATCCTCATTATCCTGTACCTGCAGTCCGAGAAGCGCAAGTATGAGGAGAAGATGGGCATCAAGAAGTGAGTGGCCAGCAGCAGGTCTTTTGTGGGTGAAAGCGACGTGCATGCCACTTGCGCATAGCACGCTTTTTGTACATGACATGGCGATGCCAAAAACCAGCAAGAACCTACTGTGCCACATGCTTCCCCCAACCTTGTGGCTAGTCTTGATGCACAGCCAGTTTAAATCGCGATATTCATTGACCCCAGAATCAATTAAAGTTGAGGTCCAGACTGATGAACACATGAATCATCAAATTGCAGAATAGATTTTCACACAGCACACGTGCTGTAAAGATTTAAAACCTGTGTGGACTCGTTGTAGCAACTTGGCTCAGACAGAGGGCGTGATTCGAGAAGCCTCCTGCGACTGATTCCTGTTGCCATGGCTTCCAAGCTTGTGCTGCTTCCTACCCTCCTCCTGGCATTGGCCTTTGTGACTTTGTGCGCTCAGTCCTTCGTGTTTGGTGGCCGACCCGTGTCCACCAGCTCTCTGCGAAGCACCGCACGAGCAGCAGTGCCAGAAGCGCTTGAGCTGCAGACTTCGATGACCACTGCTTTGGAGGTGTCCACTCCGGGCTGGTGGGCCAACATCGTGACAGTGGTCGTGCCCTGCGCCATCCTCATTATCCTGTACCTGCAGTCCGAGAAGCGCAAGTATGAGGAGAAGATGGGCATCAAGAAGTGAGTGGCCATTTTTAGCCGATGTTTTTGGTAGTAATGAAGGCAGGTGTGCGCTGGAACCAACATCCAGTCATGCTCGTGCTAAAAGACTCTGTTTGATCGGGCTCCTTGTCTCGCAAGGGAAAAGTGATAATAATAATACTGGCATCGTGGAAGCGGATTCCTGCAAAGAGTTAATTGTTATCCCTTTTTTTTGCGGCCAGTTCATGTGATTCATGTATACAAGTTCTTTTCTTGTGCTAGATGAAGCATGGACAGTTGTGATAAGCCAAACGGAACCCTGAACATGGGAATGATACTAGTGCAACTGAACTGAACATAAATGAAATCACTTGACTCATCGAGTTCCTTCCTCTTATATGACTCTCTATCTATATATGTTTTCTTTGCTTCACGGCTTGCGGGAAAGACCGGCCGCGGAAGAATGTGGTGTGAGCTGGCTGTGACTTGTTCAGAAAGAATTAACATCATAAGACGGTGTTGACATTTGGATGGGCTGTGGGCCTTTATCCAAGGTCGAGCACGCATGAAATGATTAGATCGGCTTTAGTTGGCCCAAGAATAAGAACAGCACTGAAACTGCTCAGCCCTTGTTGGACCAATGGCTTCCAAGCTTGTGCTGCTTCCTACCCTCCTCCTGGCATTGGCCTTTGTGACTTTGTGCGCTCAGTCCTTCGTGTTTGGTGGCCGACCCGTGTCCACCAGCTCTCTGCGAAGCACCGCACGAGCAGCAGTGCCAGAAGCGCTTGAGCTGCAGACTTCGATGACCACTGCTTTGGAGGTGTCCACTCCGGGCTGGTGGGCCAACATCGTGACAGTGGTCGTGCCCTGCGCCATCCTCATTATCCTGTACCTGCAGTCCGAGAAGCGCAAGTATGAGGAGAAGATGGGCATCAAGAAGTGAGTGGCCATTTTTAGCCGATGTTTTTGGTAGTAATGAAGGCAGGTGTGCGCTGGAACCAACATCCAGTCATGCTCGTGCTAAAAGACTCTGTTTGATCGGGCTCCTTGTCTCGCAAGGGAAAAGTGATAATAATAATACTGGCATCGTGGAAGCGGATTCCTGCAAAGAGTTAATTGTTATCCCTTTTTTTTTTTGCGACCAGTTCATGTATACAAGTTCTTTTTTTTGTGCTAGATGAAGCATGGACAGTTGTGATAAGCCAAACGGAACCCTGAACATGGTGAATAATACTAGTGCAACTGAACTGAACATAAATGAAATCACTTGACTCATCGAGTTCCTTCCTCTTATATGACTCTATCTGTGTCTTCTTTGCTTCACGGCTTGCGGGAAAGACCAGCCGCAGAAGAATGTGGTGTGAGCAGGCTGTGACTTGTTCAGAAAGAATTAACATCATAAGACGCTGTTGACATTTGGATGGGCTGTGGGCCTTCATCCAAGGTGGAGCACGCATGAAATGATTAGATCGGCTTTAGTTGGCCCAAGAATAAGAACAGCACTGAAACTGCTCAGCCCTTGTTGGACCAATGGCTTCCAAGCTTGTGCTGCTTCCTACCCTCCTCCTGGCATTGGCCTTTGTGACTTTGTGCGCTCAGTCCTTCGTGTTTGGTGGCCGACCCGTGTCCACCAGCTCTCTGCGAAGCACCGCACGAGCAGCAGTGCCAGAAGCGCTTGAGCTGCAGACTTCGATGACCACTGCTTTGGAGGTGTCCACTCCGGGCTGGTGGGCCAACATCGTGACAGTGGTCGTGCCCTGCGCCATCCTCATTATCCTGTACCTGCAGTCCGAGAAGCGCAAGTATGAGGAGAAGATGGGCATCAAGAAGTGAGTGGCCATTTTTAGCCGATGTTTTTGGTAGTAATGAAGGCAGGTGTGCGCTGGAACCAACATCCAGGCATGCTCGTGCTAAAAGACTCTGTTTGATCGGGCTCCTTGTCTCGCTCGGGAAAAGTGATGTATAATGATGTATAATATATATATATATTATTATCATTTATATGTTTATAGTGATGATAATGGCATCGTGGAAGCGGATTCCTGCAAAGAGTTGATAATTATATAAATATGATTAAAAAATATATATCATTATCCGGTTTTTGCGATGAAGGCATGTATACAAGTCGTGTTTTTTTTTTGGCTAGATTCTAGATGAGCCATGGACTCATGGATAGTTCTAATATGCAAACGGAACCTAGAGGAGAATGCAAAGACTCATGTTTCTTTGCTTTTAGTGTGTTTTTACTGTCCTTTTAAGGTGAGACACGATTGAGTTGCTGCATTCACTGCACCCCAAACATACTCAATAATGATACTAGCGCAACCGAATGACTCCTAGAATTCCTTCCTCTCAACTCCTCTATACATCTCTATACAGTATGTAATGTATTCTTTGCTTTGTCATTGCTTGCGGGAAAGACCGGCCGCGGAAGAATGTGGTGTGAGCTGGTTGTGACTTGTTCAAGACATTGTTGACATTTGGATGGGCTGTGGGCCTTCATCCAAGGTGGAGCACGCATGAAATGATTAGATCGGCTTTAGTTGGCCCAAGAATAAGAACAGCACTGAAACTGCTCAGCCCTTGTTGGACCAATGGCTTCCAAGCTTGTGCTGCTTCCTACCCTCCTCCTGGCATTGGCCTTTGTGACTTTGTGCGCTCAGTCCTTCGTGTTTGGTGGCCGACCCGTGTCCACCAGCTCTCTGCGAAGCACCGCACGAGCAGCAGTGCCAGAAGCGCTTGAGCTGCAGACTTCGATGACCACTGCTTTGGAGGTGTCCACTCCGGGCTGGTGGGCCAACATCGTGACAGTGGTCGTGCCCTGCGCCATCCTCATTATCCTGTACCTGCAGTCCGAGAAGCGCAAGTATGAGGAGAAGATGGGCATCAAGAAGTGAGTGGCCATTTTTAGCCGATGTTTTTGATGATGAAGGTGTGGGCATGCTCAGGCACTGAGGTCCAGTATGCCGGTTTATCACTTTGACAATTTGACGGTGAGTCAAAAGAACAAATCCAAAGACGGGCTTTCCTTGGTCATATGTCATAGAGTGTTTTTGAACTCGAAGCAACTACTTCGGACAACTTTGAATCTCCATGAACGATTCATGATATTGGTGTCTTGGGTCTAGCATTCCGCCAGCATTGAGCACTTGTGACACTCTTTGCTGATGATGTATATTAATATATGTGTTCTGGTTTTGAATGTTTTGTGCTACGCAGTGGGCACTCGGATTTTTCATGATTTTTCTGGGCTCATCTACAGCGGACTCTTCATCACATGTTTTTGAGATATAATTAGCCGAAACAGGAGAACCATCAGTAACAAGCGAGGCCCATGGAACTGTCCATGATCTTTTGATCGGCTTTAGTTGGCCCAAGAATAAGAACAGCACTGAAACTGCTCAGCCCTTGTTGGACCAATGGCTTCCAAGCTTGTGCTGCTTCCTACCCTCCTCCTGGCATTGGCCTTTGTGACTTTGTGCGCTCAGTCCTTCGTGTTTGGTGGCCGACCCGTGTCCACCAGCTCTCTGCGAAGCACCGCACGAGCAGCAGTGCCAGAAGCGCTTGAGCTGCAGACTTCGATGACCACTGCTTTGGAGGTGTCCACTCCGGGCTGGTGGGCCAACATCGTGACAGTGGTCGTGCCCTGCGCCATCCTCATTATCCTGTACCTGCAGTCCGAGAAGCGCAAGTATGAGGAGAAGATGGGCATCAAGAAGTGAGGGACAGATCCACAACGTGTGGGATCCTCATTAGAGAGTTTTTCTATCCAATGAGCAGACTGACCCGTGCTGGGATCTAGAGCCAAAAATCGAGAGAGACATTTTTCTGAAACATCCCCGGGTGCGAAATAAGAATGACTTTTGGGATGCGTTGGTTGTGCAAGGACAAATCTATGAACAGCATCAGCAGCCCAAGGCAAAACGATGAAAACTGATCATCTCTTGGGTTGGCGGCACAGGCGCTGTTGAACTGTGAGGAGCCCCGCACAGTGCAACTGGCTGCGGTGGGGCATCCGCTGTTGGTCTTTGGAACTTTGGAGGGTGCACTGCAGGCACCAGGGGCGGGTGGATAGATGTGAGGTGCAACTCATAGCCTGGGTGTAGGAGGTATGTGTGGTTCCAAAGTTGACTGAACTGTTCCAAGAAATAACTGACTTGATCTTGGTTAGACAACTGCCTTGCCCTGACAGTGCTATTTTATATTATTTTATTATGTAGTGGAATGTATGTATATATATATATATGTGTGTGT